GCAAATTAAATCAAATGTGCCTGTCTACTGCATGTAACCACGTTCACGAAAACAATAACACAATACCCATAAATAACAAAAAATGGGAACATGCAAACCACAAACGCACATTATTTTAAACCGTTGCCTTTATTTTTGTGCGATAGTACGTATTATACCAAATGGGTCCCCTCATGTGTGCCAGACAGTACAGATATGTTGCATCTATTTCATGAATATCCATCTCTCAAAGGTAAAAATTTTGTATTTTGATCGTGGGCAAATTAATAATTTAAAAAAAAATCTGATCCATGTCACAGGTATACCCTTGTAGTAAAGATGTCACAAGCTATTTAATGTCCGCTTTACAATGGACAACAAGCTGGATATGAATATATACTATGATGTGTTTGCAAACTATCTCGGTGGCCAATGCTAAAAGCGCGAGGATATGTATGTAGTGGAGTAGGAAGGTGCGTAGTGGAAACAGCGTGATTACATGATAACACAGACAGCCCGGGTTATGTTGGGTCAGCCTGTAGCGAAGGCGAATACAGTGCAGGTTATGTTGGGGCAATTAAGCTGGGAGAGCCAAGGATGGCTGGGATTGGTTGGTGCTGTTGCCAAGGCTGGAGGGGCGTCTTGAAGTCTGGCGAGGTAACAGGTGTACAGGTCACGCGGAGTGCGGTTGGGACGCGGGTTAATTAATTGGGGAGTAATGAGAGCGGGGATAAATTGGGGGGTCGGCAATTGGAGCGAGGTTGTTGAAGTTGGGGAGCTTGGAGTGAACAGCGGGGGATTTGAAGTTGGAGTCAACAGCGGGGAATTGAAGTGTGGAGAGCTTGGAGACAGAGAGTTGGAAGGACAGAGTTTGGGAGACAGAGTTGGAGACGGAGCTTGGAAACAGCGAAGCTGAACAGAGACGAAGCAGTTAGCAGTGGAGAGAGCATAGCGATAGCGGAGCTGAAGAAGAGAAGCAGCCAGCAGTGGAGAGAGCGTAGTGACAGTGATAGCGGTGAACAGAGACGAAGCAGTTAGCAGTGGAGAGAGCATAGTGACGGTGATAGCGGAGAGCGGAGACGAAGCAGTTAGCAGTGGAGAGAGCATAGCGATAGCGGAGCTGAAGAAGAGAAGCAGCCAGCAGTGGAGAGAGCGTAGTGACTGATAGCGGTGAACAGAGACGAAGCAGTTAGCAGTGGAGAGAGCATAGTGACGGTGATAGCGGAGAGCGGAGACGAAGCAGTTAGCGGCGGAGTATGCGAAGTAATCGTGGGGAGTGGAGAGACAAAGGTGGCGAGCGAGTCGAGTGAAGCGTGGCGAGCGAGCCGTGGCGACATGGATACTGTAAAATATTGATGACACGTTGAGAGTTGTAAATAAAGCGGTGTTCGAAGAAAGACAAAAGTTGTCCGAGTGAAATCGAACACTACATGTATATACCATCGTGCTTGCATACACACACAGGCACGACGATATAGAGTGTGAATATATACTGGGGGTGCAAGTGAATTTCCGCCTGTATTCATTTCGCCCTTTGTACGCTTGCGGGTTTTGGCCGCCGGTTGTGAGGCTATGATGTGCCCAAGCGATGAAGCCAACGTGATTAATGGGAGCATTGTACGATGGCGCCAAGGATGGGCTTGGAGTGCGATGGCTTCGCAGACGGATCACTTCAGAGCGCATCCCGCCAATGGCTCGCCCACCCCTTCCTGGCAGCAGCAAGGGCAGACTGGCAACACCCGCCGGTCCTGCGAGAATGCTTATTATGCTTATTATTATCCGCAACAATGCGAATAAAAAAATCCCGGCCTAATTACTGACCTGCCTCCCACTTAACCTTTTACCTGAAACTCGACGGAATTCTCCCCCAAAAGCAAATAACTACAGCATCGGCCGGTCGTCATAACAGTACACGCAGGCTAATTATGGAATTGGCACAATAGCCGTTGTATACAGTAAACATACGTTTTGACAACTACACACATTCGTATACATTGTAATGGTCACAGACTATGCCAGTGTTGACCTTTCATAAAGCTGTCAGAAATAGAAAATGTTTCCAAATGTATTTATCTAAATACACATTCGGTAAGCTAACGCATTTTTTTAATTTTGTTGCAGAAGTAATGACATATAGGCTGCACAACAGTTGGGTAGCACACGATAGACAACATTGCCATGGCTTGCATACCACGTCGTCGCTTTATATTCACGCCGCTGAAGGCATTATTTGTGGACATTAATGACAAATACAAATTAGAATTGTCTGCAAAAAAATATTTTATCTGCACTATTCGGCGAGTCTTATTGCTACGTTAATAATTTTCAGCATGATTGAATAAAATAGACCGTAGCTTTTATCATTTTTGAGAATGTAATATAACAACGCTACTATCTGTATATTTTCGTATTACATATACCTTTTTAATTTTCATGCAGTTGCTTTGGAAATGGGTTTGCCTATTGGCATGACACCAGACATCAAACACACCAATATAATATCGTATTTCTATGTAGAAACACGATTTTAACATAAGGCTTAAATTTACGATGGAATAAATTCACAGTTGAACATTTCATCGCATGTTTTGTACCTTTCAAAATATCATCCGACAGAAAATATGCAATGTATTAAAAAAAGTAAATGCAGTTAAAAATGTTATTTAGTTCAAATCAAATAGAGGGTGTACAGCTGCTGCAAATTGACTTTAGATAACAAGGACGGACGAGTGGGAAAGCATTTTCAGAAATTAATTATTCATCGTAACATCAGTGAATGCTTAGCCCAAGTGGTTTGGTAGAAACACCAGGACAAAAAAAACCCCTAAACAATACAAAGACCTCTGATTAGGCGTGGGAATAAGGAAGCCAGGCACGAATGGAATAACAAAGTACACCAGACAGGGACGGGGAAAAGCTTGTATAATTGTACAATATTTATCCAAATTCAGTACAGACAAGCGGAACGCTAAAGGACTGAAGCAATCAGACGACTGCAAGGCACACAGACAAAGAGCTTATGAGACAAAGAGTCGACATCAATTTGTTCACAATAATGTTCAGATTGCCAACACCAACACTGTAAAGTACACTTGCTTTCCGTAGGAGGAGCAATAAAAAAGGATTTTTTTTAAGAATGAGCTGGACTTACACTGTAGCGTTGTAGTTTCGCTAACGTTTACATGGAAGTTGAAGAGTGCATACGTTTCTCTCCTAGCCACATAAATGCAAAAAAAAATGATCTCCTTACAATCATTCATGCAAAAAAAAGTCAAGATTCGAAACATGCACGGCAAAGAAATGTCTTCCGATTTTAATAGCGCTTCCCTGTTAATATACAAAGACATTAAGAAAAGTAGTTAAAAACAATCTTACATACAATAAATTTATTTTCTTTTTCCAAAAACTAAAAATATCCCTTTAAAATTTACATTAAAGCAACACAAATAATTATTAACCTCAGTCTTACTGAGTCTATGCTTTAAGACAATCAACACTATATATTTTTTTACAGGTAGTTCTTCGCTTCTATAAAAAATTCACGTAAAACACCGACATGTTTCACTATAAAATAACCACTTTTATTATATGCTATTCCATCTTACTTTCTTTTAGCGCATTTAATTCACATTTTATATTATTTCATAGAGAACTTCTAAACTCTTGCACAAATGGATGGGCGGGGCGGGGGGTTGGGGATGGTGATATCGGCCCGGGTAAAGTCCTATAATCATCTTTATACAGTTAACACATTCCTTTCATTATATATAAATTAAGAAACCTTTCTCTGTCAGTCCACAGGCGCTAATGCCAACCTCACAAGTGCGGCCCTGCTGGCTCCCGTTGTGTTGTGTCACGGACCTCCTGACCAGCACTGCGCGTGTCCTGTTCACGTCACCCGAACACCGGCATTGATAGCTCACGTAATCGTAACTTTAGTTTATTCTTAAAATAACAAAAAACATTAAGACGCAAGGCCTCTCGCTATGCAGGAAAGTTTAAAATAAAGTGTATTTTTTCCCCCCTCTCTTCCAATTTCTATCGTCGTTTTAATATACACATCTCTTTGTGAACGTTGATTATTTATTTTACTTAAAACTTACAGCGTTTATAGGTTTTAGTTATAATAAGTACCGTGTTGTTGTTGTTTGACGCAATTCCTACACCCTTGTGTATTTTTATGTTTTAATATTGTCATATTTAGGGTTGCTGTGATAATATTTAGCATAGAAATGGTGGGTGGATTGATGCCGTGTAAAATAGTCACCATGAATAAGATATTTTTAAGCAACTAGCTTTTTTGCCTGCCCAAGGACGGGTGTAGATCGCAGTAAATCTGAAATATTCAATAGAAAAATTGTTCAGCTCATGATTATTAATGAGGGGGGGGTTGCCCCATGTGGTGACGTCACCCGCTAATGGTTATTGGGAAGGGGTGCGGCATGTGGAGTGCGCGACCTTCTTGTGCGTCAGTGTAAATGTCCACGTGGGCATGAATATTAATGAAGGGGGGGGGGCTCTTTTGCAGTGACGTCACGCACGGATGTAACACTGTGCTGCGTACATTTATTTTTTACCGTCACTTTCTGTAAAGAAACGTCATATTTGAAGCGACTTTGCATAATAAATGATTTAATTCAGCTCGACCTTCCTCTTGCGTTGGTGTAAAAATCCACCCACTCATAAATATTAATGAGGGGGGTGGGCCTCGTGGAGTGACGTCACGCGTGGGACGGACAGACTTTTTTGGGCGATTATAGTAGGTACTACTTAATACCTTCAGGGTGTAGCAATTGCTCCTTCATTTGTTAAATACATTTTGGAGGTTGTGCAAAACATTATTATGGTATTAATACATAGTTTAGTGCTGTAGAAACTCATTTACTTGAATTCAAATCGTGACGCGTATTTTGTATTGTAACATTTGCTGTTTACAACCCTTTTTAAAAAGTAACCATCACTCAAAACATTTGTATCGTAATGCCTTTTGTTATACATGTCTCCAAACGTTATTACCATAATTCTTAAATCATGAGTCTATTTATTAATTAGTGTATACATATGACAAAAGTCTTTTCTTTTTACATTAAACAAATTTGCAACAAACGAACAGCACATTAATGTAACAGTTGGTGCGTTTATCGCTCAAAAGTTAAAAAGTCAATTATGGCACATTTACTCTGATGGAGACACTGAGCTGCATATTAATACACACAGTCTGCTCGAAACAAAACAAAACATTGGCTTTTCAAAGCGGTACGAATCACTACGACGTGGTTATCCTGGCCTCTAGTTTTGTACAGAAGGACAACAGGGGGGGGGGGGGGAAGGGCAAAGTGCTTTCGAAAGTCGGAACCGACGGTATTATTATAGTACGGTAGCCGTTTGGTTAGTCATCATCCTGGTCTGGCGTCTGTGGGGGCTGCGAGCCATTGCTGTAGAGCGAGAAGGGAATCGTGGCCAGGTAGCCATCCGCGGTCGTAAACACCGCTCCCGCCGACAGGTGAGAGAGCCCGCCGCCCGCCACCGACCCGGCAAACGGCGTGGGCACCCCCATCTGCTGCATGCGCTGGTAAAGCACCTCCATGGGCGTCTTGCCGTCAAGTCCGTGGTACCCAACGCCGCCGCCGCCGCCGCCGCCGCCGCACCCCGCCAGCCCCATGCTGGGCTGCGTGCCCAGTTGGGCCCCGCCGTCCCCGGCGAACGAGGAGGCCGAGTCGGCCGGCGCGTAGCGGATGGCGCCCGTCGTGTAGAGGCGCTGTGCGGGGGGGCTCGCGTCGCCGTCGCTCGAAGCCGCCCCCCCCGCCCCCGCCGCCCCGGCGCCGCCGCCGCCGCCGGCGCCCCGCCGCCGCCGCGTCTGCGGCGGCGCCGGGGCGCCGCCGGCGTGCAGCCGCTGCAGGGCGTCGACGTCGTAGAGGCCCGACGGGCTGACGCTCACCGCCTGGCCCACTTTGCCGTCGCGCGGCGAGGCCGACAGCGGAGGGGACAGGGGGTCGGACGCCAGTAAAGTGCTCGCGGAGTTGGGTGCGGCGGGGTTCGGGGAGGCTGTGAACACGGACTTCTGACTCGTGGCGCTGTCGGGGCCCGGCGGGGTCAGAACCGAGTCGGGGATGGCCACGTGCAAACTCGACTGCGCCCCGTGGCCAGAAGAGTAGTGCTTTGCCTGGGAGGGACCGGTCATGCTGTAGGGCAACTCGTTCCGTGAAATCTCCCTGTTAGGAGGGTAGTCCCAAATGCTGCTGTCTTCGAAGTTAATAGACTCTTCCATTTTCACCTGATTGTGTGACGAGGCTGAGTGTCTGGAATACCGTCTGCTATCCATCTCCTCTTCACGGGGACTGGGTAAGCTTTGCAGAGGAGTGCAATTTGGTCGTTGTCTCTTGTGCTTTTTCCTCTTAGGGCGCTTTGTGGACTGCTGTGCGTTTGTCTGCCCGGTGCCGTCATAACCATCCATGCCTTCCCGGCCAACGATGCCCACCACATCCGGCCGTCGCAGGCCGAACTCTTCGACTTTGACGCCGCCGGAACGCAAAGACACGCAGCGCTCATTGGCGCCGTAGCCTTGTTCCTCGCAGTAAGAGCTCTCCGAGCTCTTCTCCTCACTGCTCTCCTCCCCCTCCTCTTCCTCCACTTCCTCCTCTTCTTCTTCTTCCTCCTCCTCCTCTTCCTCCTCCCCCAGGCTGCTGGAGCTGCCCTCCTCGTGGTGCATGTTGGCTCCCGAGCGCCGCCCGCCACTCCTGGTTCCCTCCGGGTCCCAGCTGTCGCCGCTGCGGGACTGACCGTGCCGCTGATTGGGCTTGGGGCTGTCGCGATCATCTGAGACACAGACCCGGCGACACGGCCAATGGTTGCATACAACGCCTACAGCAAAACGCCGGAAAACCAGCTTGGGGGTTTTACGCTTTTGCGTGTGCATTTAACCATGGAAAAAAAGGTAAAGGAGCAGCCCTGCAATTGATTGCTCGTCTCACACCACTGCTGGCAGAAGGGCTTTCACTAGAGGGAGCTCTAGGGAGCCTCTCTACTCGAGAGTATTTTGGCCAACTCTTTCACGCTGGGCAGACGTTTTGGAAAAGGTGGTAGTACCAACACTTTACCCTACCACGCGCGATATGCCAATGGACTAATCGGCAAACTATGGTATCCGTTTCTATTGCTGCGTGAATAGAGGCGGTGGGGCGATTTAAGATGCTTGCACCATTGTTTCAACTGCTGTGCCGGGAGATTGAGTCGAACTAGTGACCTCTGGATTGCAATTCTGGTGTGCCAACCATGACTCCGGGGGCAACCATCACATTTAAATTAAATAAAAAAATCCGAGCATCCACTTTGAACTGGTTAACAAAGTGCACAACTACAAAATCGTTCGATTCCTCTGGCAAACTGGCAACTTGCTTTTCTTATTACTGCACACAGACCTGAATTCCCCTTGGAGTCTGAGTCAGAATCAGATGTTTCCGAAGACTCTGAGGATTTCTTGTAGAGGTGTGGCAGTTGCTGCACGTCCATGGGGCAGTCCTTGTACTCGGGGTCACTGCAATGCCAGGGGGGGATTCATTAGCAAAACTTAATCAAACGACATCAAACAAACAAGGAGAAACCACTCCAGGAATAGGCTTTGTTTTATCCTGGGGCAAAGCTGAAGCACTCGCACCATCCAATATGAAATCTCTCAAACAGGCTGGCTTTTAATTGCCGCAAGAATGTTCAACGTTGTGGAGAACATTTTCGACAAATGAATCTCCAATGAGTTCTCTTTTTTTATTGTTTTAAAAATAGTCATTGTTCTTTAATTACGAGTAAAAAAAAATATATGATTTTCCAGTGTGATGTTAACAAAATGCGAATTATAATTGTTTTGGGATTTTTATGTTCGTAATAAGGTGTCGTTTTAAGATTTAATATAATTTTTAGCAATGTGCTTCCCATAGGCATATAATAGTAATGTTTAATACGTAATTATTACTAAATCTTCATAATAATTCAGATCAAGCACGATTAGTAGTTCCTGCATTTTAATACAGTCAATTGTAATTAATATTTTAAAAATACTCCCAAACTAAGTTTCTGTAATATAATGTGACAGAGTGAATGTGTGAGAAAATATGTATAATGCAACCACGAACACATTATTTTTTGGGAAATGAAATTCACATTCAGCCGAAACTCCTAAGCAGGAGTGTAATGATGCAGCAATTCATTCATTAAAATAAAATCCTATACTCACAATGGATGGAATCCTGCGTATGAACATATTTCTGTAATTCTTATATGTTGTATGTAATCTTTTCGCATGACCTTTTGCTGCAGCCATTGAGATACACTACGATATGCCACAGCAAACAATAACCATTACATAAAATCATGATCACAAACAGTGGCGATTCATAAATTCCCACCAGCAAGCATGATCATTATTAAACTGTTTCACCTACAGTTAGGGAAATAAGTATTTGATCCCCTGCTGATTTTGTACGTTTGCCCACTGGCAAAGAAATGATCAGTCTATGATTTTAATGGTAGGTTCATTTGAACAGTGAGAGACAGAATAACAACAACAAAAATCCAGAAAAACGCATGTCAAAAATAAAATAAATTGATTTGCATTTTAATGAGGAAAATCAGTATTTGACCCCTCTGCAAAACATGACTTAGTACTTGGTGGCAAAACCCTTGTTGGCAATCACAGAGGTCAGACGTTTCTTGTAGTTGGCCACCAGGTTTGCACACATCTCAGGAGGGATTTTGTCCCACTCCTCTTTGCAGATCTTCTCCAAGTCATTAAGGTTTCGAGGCTGACGTTTGGCAACTCGAACTTTCAGCTCCCTCCACAGATTTTCCATGGGATTAAGGTCTGGAGACTGGCTAGGCCACTCCAGGACCTTAATGTGCTTCTTCTTGAGCCACTCCTTTGTTGCCTTGGCCGTGTGTTTTGGATCATTGTCATGCTGGAATACCCATCCACGACCCATTTCCAATGCCCTGGCTGAGGGAAGGAGGTTCTCACCCAAGATTTGAAGGTACATGGCCCCGTTCATCGTCCCTTTGATGCAGTGAAGTTGTCCTGTCCCCTCAACAGAAAAACACTCCCAAAGCATAATGTTTCCACCTCGATGTTTGACGGTGGGGATGGTGTTCTTGGGGTAATAGGCAGCATTCCTCCGCCTCCAAACACGGCGAGTTGAGTTGATGCCAAAGAGCTCAATTTTGGTCTCATCTGACCACAACACTTTCACCCAGTTGTCCTCTGAATCATTCAGATGTTCATTGCCAAACTTCAGACGGGCATGTATATGTGCTTTCTTGAGCAGGGGGACCTTGCGGGCGCTGCAGGATTTCAGTCCTTCACGGCATAGTGTGTTACCGATTGTTTTCTTGGTGACTATGGTCCCAGCTGCCTTGAGAGCATTGGCAAGATCCTCCCGTGTAGTTCTGGGCTGATTCCTCACCGTTCTCATGATCATTGCAACTCCACGAGGTGAGATCTTGCATGGAGCCCCAGGCCAAGGGAGATTGACAGTTATTGTGTTTCTTACATTTGCGAATAATCGTACCAACTGTTGTCACTTTCTCACCAAGCTGCTTGGCAATGGTCTTGTAGCCCATTCCAGCCTTTTGTAGGTCTACAATCTTGTCCCTGACATCCTTGGAGAGCTCTTTGGTCTTGGCCATGGTGGAGAGTTTGGAATCTGATTGATTGCTTCTGTGGACAGGTGTCTTTTATACAGGTAACAAGCTGAGATTAGGAGCACTCCCTTTAAGAGTGTGCTCCTAATCTCAGCTTGTTACCTGTATAAAAGACATCTGGGAGCCAGAAATCTTTCTGATTGAGAGGGGATCAAATACTTATTTCCCTCATTAAAATGCAAATCAATTTATAACATTTTTGACATGCGTTTTTCTGGATTTTCTTGTTGTTATTCTGTCTCTCACTGTTCAAATAAACCTACCATTAAAATATATAGACTGATCATTTCTTTGTCAGTGGGCAAACGTACAAAATCAGCAGGGGACCTAATACTTTTTTCCCTCACTGTACATGGCTGTCCTGATGATGTCATGGCACCGATTAAACGAAACACTTTTTTTTATTTCACCATTTAAGGACCAATTGATATATAGATATTTTTTTCTAAAGTGACCTTGCCACAAATGATAGTTTAACCAAGTGGCTTATCATGTGGAAATTTAAGCAGCCAAATACTCTGAATGCATGTTTCTAATTGAGGATGGAAAAATCAGAGGACCCGGAGAAAAATCCACAAGACCACGGGAAAACATGCAAACTCCAAATATACAGGCGTCAGCATTGGGATCAACCCCACGACCTCCTGTACACCAGGCGAGATAGTTAACATCACGCCACATACTAACGGACCAGGAAACTCTTTTACGCCAGATCTAAGCTTTTGCTAACACCTGATGATGCTGAATATAATCCTCAGCGAAATGTTTTATCCAATTATAAAAATTTTGCTTGCTTTTCAACATTCGGGTTTGCTGAAAAACTCAATTTCCATAATTGCACCTGCCACAACCTGGTTTGATCGGCTCTTTTGGGCGGTGTAGGATTATAGTAAAACTATTTTCACGTGATACCTACATGATCTAACCCGCAAGAACAGAATCATGAATCAAAATTGTTCCAGAGCTGCTCCTTAAGATGGCGATAAATATACATTCACCCCGATTAAAAAAACGTATTTTCTCCACGTAGCTTTGGCAATTCTAGATTTGGCAATCCTCTCTTTAATACCGCATCGTTAAATTTAAAGTATATGGTTGGAATGAATAATGGTATAAGCACCTGAGAACATAGTTGATCCATACAATGGTTTTCTCATTGATGTTCTTTGTGTTGATGGCGATCGTAGCGCTTGATTGTATCCAAACGTAACCGCCACTTTTTTGCATCCAGCGGTAGTACTTGGTAACACACTGCCCCTTGTTCAGCACTGTGGAAAATAATGATAATTATCATCATCATCATCATTATCGTTATTATATTCATCTTCGTCATTTGACAACAACAATAACAACAATAATTGATGTTTGTGGTTCTTGTGAAGGTGACAATTAAGCACAGGATCTGCACAAACATCGAAATACGGAAGATGGCAGTTATGTTTGTTCGTAAATTCCATTCATGTCAGCCCCCCACCACCACCCCTCCCTGTACGAAAATACAAAAAAAAATCTGTACAGATGCCATTAGCCCAAGGAAGCTATTAACAAGTCTGGCAGCATCCGTGCACACTGGAGTAATTAAACTGTCACGCCATTTAGTGACAACCGCTTTATTGTAAGTCAGGCATCCTAAAGGGCAGCACAATACACTAAGCCTCAATTTGCCACAGGAAAGCCCCCCCCCCGACACACATTTATATTCCTATTTTAATGCACCTAGCCCCAAAGTTCAGCCCCCCCACCTCCCACTATTTTTTCGTATACAGTTCCAAAATCTGTGGAGATAAGCATTTGACGCAAGGTTACATCCCCACGTGTGCCTAAGAATGATATACAAGTCAGACTTAGCTGGGGGAGACGGGACTAGGAATTGTACGTGGGGCAATATTTTATGTTGATTGGAACATTATAAAGCTGTAAAATATATCTTAATTTTGAAATATTTTATATTTTCTCTCTTTTTTTTCTGTTTGCTTCCAATAAATATAACTTTAAAATGCACGTGAAGAATCCAGTGCATTTTAACCGGCGTCATATGCTTCCCATCCCAACAACATTTTTTTTTGTTGGGAGAAGTGTAGCGATGCCACAATTAATTGCCAATCCAAAAGCTTTGAGGGTAAAGTTGTGTGCCAAAAAACGTATATGTTGTTGTTGTTGTGCAGGCTGTTCAGTATGACTGAGGAGTCCAATGCAGAAGGGCAGGGGTTGTGCTGCACATGGTATGATATTTGCAATCGTGAAAAAGGGCTTGCACTGGAAGGCATTAACTACTTTCAGTGGGTAAAAAAAAAATCCGACCAAAAAGTTTGCTGTGGATTTTGAGCACCCTCCTACTTCAAAAAAGACGTAAAAAATTCCGTTACATCCCTGGCAAACCTTCAGAAGAGTAAGGTGTGTGCTGATGGTACATCAGCTCGCTCTTTAGAACGCCGCGTTCCATACGTGGAACGTGTTGTGTAGTTCGCACCACAAGCATGTTTCTTACCGCTGCCACCGCATCTTACAAAAAAAATTAATCAAACACCCCACCTTCCCGAAATCAGTTTTTTTTGTGTTGGCGCTAAAATCTTTACGTGATTTTGATCTGCACATCAAATTCCGTGCAGATTCCTTGGTTTGCTTCAGGATATGCCCTTGGCACGGACTGACACTCAAGACAATTTCATGAGTGTTTCCTAAAATGCTTAAATAGGTTTCTGATTTTTTAAAAAGGCACACCAATGAATAATAAACAAAGTATATTGGTTGTTGTTTGAATACATTTCTATATTGATAAAAATGGAAGAACCAACATGCCTACAAATAGAAATAAATAAGGTCACATTCATAACAAATACTGCATTTTTTTTCCCCGACAACACAATCATTCATCAATTGCTAAAGAAAATCGATACAGCTGTGCCTATGGCCGAGAAAGATCACGGGGTGTCATGGGGACCGTGACCACGTCACGCGAGAATGCCACTGCTCGGATGAATTTTAAGCACGGAAAGATTCACCTCCTTGCGATTCAACGAAGGAGTGTCACGATTCGGGGTCAGAGCTTCAATTCAAGAACCGATTCCCTTTTATGTTTTATTGTGGGCAAAAGCAGTGGCTTTTAAAGTGGTCACAGAGGCCACGCAGAGGCCACCAATTCAGTAAAACGCATGCAAATTGTAAATAATAATGCACGTGCTCGGTTGCACGAACTGTGTGCGAATAAGTAACAAATCGGTGCATCGTCACATGCCTACAGGCCTTACGTGACGAATGACAAGTGGCATAACAACACGTCTAAGAAGGAGAGTGTTTCTTAAGTACATATTGCCTTCTATTACGTATAGATGGGAAATAAAGAAAAACGAACAAAAGCTGAAAGTGCACAAATAATCATGGAGAAACGTGTGTTTAGAATTACAGAGATGTATGTACAGTATGTTGAACTTATTTCGCACCGTACGTAGCCAACCATGCTAATTGGAGGTGCGGGAGATAATACGTAATTTTCAACATGGTTTTGACTACTAAGAAAAGTAAGTGGGCTTGGGCCAGGGTCTATCACTGGACAGTATGACGTCCACTTTTCAAGACGAATGCCGCAGTGGCAGACAACGTAGGGAAAACACTCAATAAACCGTCCGCCGCAGACACATAGCGAGGGATTGGAATCGGCTCATGTGCGGATGCGAGATAGTTTGTGGTACCATCGAGAGGTGGTGACCACTCAGAGAAGCCTTAGTCCAGCAGTGGATTGATCACGACCGATGACGACGACGATGGTGATGCTGGACCATGCTAAGTGTGGGCAGGATGACTGAGCGCTCGAGCAGGGAACACATCTCCCACTCGTGCGCCCTGCGCGCTGTGCACTACTCACTGTCGATGTGGTTCTGGCGAATCCCCTCCACGTCCTCGGCGTGAATGAAGTGGTAGCAGCTCCTCCCCACCAGGTCGGCCGGCGCCAGGTCCATGTAATCACTTATCCTGAACATAGCAGCGTGCTCGCTTAGAGATAACAACGCAGAGCGCCGCGGCACTTTATCAATTGCATATGAGGCGTGTTTTAATGCGGCTTGCTCCAACGGCGGGATAGCGAATTGCGTGCGAGGAGGGCTATTCGTTTGAGCACGTGTTAAACCTGCGTGTTGAATTCTTAAGGTCTGAAGGGCTCTGCTTAGCATCTCAAGGTGAGAGCAATTTTATTCTTCTCGCACGATTTTGATCGCAGCCGCTGCATTGGAGGCTTTTCTTTTGTGAATCCTCATAAACCATTATCGTGCACAAACAGTGTCGCCCGGCTAGAGTTATTCTTGTATCATGAATGGGAGCTGGGTCTAGATTTCAATTTGTTGCTGAACCAGTGAACTGCCAAAGGTTTTTTTTTATCCTTTTTCTTTCTTTTTTTAAAAAATTCTCCATGCCAGATGTAGCTAGTCGACATAATGGGAATGAGTTGATTCATGTTCACACTTCAAGGAGGGACGCTCCCTGACCGAAGACCGAATCGCAAAACCTCGCTTAGCATTGCATTGTGGGGCCTGCAGTTCCGATTGACACTGCATGCTGTTGGAAAAGGAAGAAGGACATCTTTTTTATCTTGATAGAACTTGCCGGGTTTAATGAAACGCCTTGAAGTGTAATTTCAAATGAAGCTGCCGTGATGAAATGGAATGGCACGTGTCCAGAACACCACCATGACTTACGATTCTATAGATGTTGATGGAAGAGCAAAGGGGTTTTTTGTGAGGTTTTTTTGAGAAAGTTTCGTACACACTTCCACATGTCAAACTAATTTTAAAATATATTTACCCTGAAAACCTCCATTCTGCCCGTATTTATAAAAGGCTGAGTTCTTTCACTGCATTGTTGGTTACCGAAGCCTCAATGAATCGTTTTCCCACATAATTATAAACTAAAATAAAGTTATTACTTAAAAAACCGGTGGTGATGAAGTATTTCTTCTGAAACAACTTTTTTAAATTGTATGCAAAGAGGGTATGTCGAGACACTTTGTCATTCGTAACTGATAAGCAGATACAGCATAAAACGTAACTTGGAAAATTACTAACAAAGTAATTTTTATTTATCTTACACAATCTTTTTTTTCATAAGAAAAATACATCTCATAAGTAGTGAATGAAAACCACGGTGTCTCGAGCCAAATGGTTTTTGATATCACGAAATTTTCTCTCGGACAGAACTGCAATGTGTTTCGCTGTGTCATTCAAAAGTGGCAGCGTGTGGAGTGTACACAGACCAAGAATGGTTTATGCCCTGTGAGCCATAACAAAATCATTTGTAAGCTCGCTCATGTAGTGAATTCAGCTTTTCGGCATGGGTGCACAGAGCCGAATACAGCCCTCGTTGTCTGACATGAGAATCTAATCAGTGCAAAAGAAAGACCCCAACTTAAGGAACACACACAGGGAAAAACAGCGATATTGTTCTCTCTTTTTTGGGAGGAAAGACAGATCTCGCCTTTTCTAATTTGCAGCATGACTGGTTTTAAGTTGCATTTTTTATAACCCATATTTTCTTTTATGGTGACACCGTGAGCCTCCGTAGCACTACACTGCATTCTGCATGCTATGTGTCTGTGAATTGTTAAGAAATAGCCGATGCGTGCAAGTGCTCGCTAGTTTAAGCCCAGGGTATCGCGGTGTGTGCTCGCACACCGCATAGAGGTGCGCACCTAACAACGATACAAAATGCCCCTTGATTAACCTGCTACTAGAGCTAATTTCAGGCATAGTGCAAAAGCAATCATTTTTTTGCGCTTTGTGATATTCCTCTGAAGCAAAAAAAAATGGTGCTTAATCTTCAATTGTAAATCCACACAACTGTGAATCAAAATAAAACTGGGCAATTACAGCATAATCTCAAGACGGAGGCACAAGGGCGACTTTTTGTTTCAAAGCCGCGGTTAACCTCTTCCCACTGGAAGGTCGCCCACTCTCCTCTGCCACCCACAGAGCCTCGGGGGATCCCTTTCCACAGGTATCCCTGCTGTCATCTCCCTGCCCGTGCTCGAAAACTGAACAATATATATTTTTTGTAACCAGGTAAGGCCCACTGAGCTATTATTTTTTTTATATGTAAGCCACCTGGCCACAGATGATAGCTCAACGAAGTGGCTTATCACGTGGAAATTTACGGCAGCCAAAATACTCTGAACGCGTGTTTCAAAATGTGGAGGGAGAAACCGGAGGACCCGGAGAAAAATCCGGGTCCCCCAAACTCCAAATATACAGCAGGCGTCAGGGTTGGGGTCGATCCCATGACCTCCTGTATATCAGGAGAGTCAGTTAACATCTCCTAGCCACCGTGGCATCCCCAAGTCTCAGGCAAGAGACCTTGCTCTTTTCCTCTCCGTCTACGACTAACTGTCTCTTTCTCGCAAAAAGATAAGTGTGCTCAACTCTTCCATACAGCGTCTTGAGATGAAATTGCATTTTGACCCTCTCCAAATCCAAATCGTATTGTATTGCATGTGCACTTTTCTGATAATATCACGATCAACTGATATCTGTACTTTACAAATATCAAGGGGGAGAATGGAACTGTCCGGCAGGGGGGGACGTTACAGGCTGACGACAACAACAACAACAGTGTAAACATTTTCTTCCCAAAAAAACCCCCAATATCAACACCCCGTCCCCTCCATCTCCACCGCCCCCCCCCCCCAAAAAAAAAAAACCCCGCAGCTTGAAAGCTACATAGCAACATTTCCGGCACCTGTTCTCACAGTAGACGATCTTGAGATCCATGTTGACTCGGGTGACGAACATCTGGCAGTCGATGCGTATCTCGTTCATGGTGGGTGGCGGCAGGGCGTGCGCCAAGGCCACCATGCCCATGATCTGCGTCGGCGCGCTCATGCCGTAGGGCAGCGCGGAACGCACCCGCAGCCTCCCTGTCAGGTGTATCACCTGCACGAGCAGCGACGGGGCAGTTAGCCACAGGCTCTCTTCCCCACCCAACCCCCCACTCCTCCTCCTCTTGCCTCTCTCATCTCATTGCATGTCCCCTCTCGTCCTCTTCGTTCACGAGATTCTCTGTCTCTCTCTGTCCCTCCTTCTCCCTGTGCACAATCCCGTTCTCAGTCCTTCTCCCTCCTTGCACCCCTCCACTGGAATCAACTTCCCTTCTACGTTAAGCAGCACTGCCCATGGACTCAAGACTCTCCATAGACTAACACTTCCCATAGACTCAACACTGTCCATAGACTCAACATTGTCCATAGACTAACACTGTCCGTAGACTCAACACTCTCCATAGACTAGCACAGCCCATAGACTCACACCGCTCATAGACTCACACTGCTCATAGACTAACACTGCCCATAGACTCACACTGCTCATAGACTCGCACAGTCCATAGACTCAACACTGCCCATAGACTCAACACTGCCCATAGACTCAACACTGTCCATAGACTCACACTGCTCATACACTCAACACTGTCCATAGACTCAACACTACCCATAGACTCAAACTCCCCATTGACTCAACACTCCCTCGGTGCGAAAGAAGTTCAACATACATATATAGACTCACACTGCGCATTTACTAACACTGCCTTTAGACTCAGCACTGCCCCTGTACATTAAGCAGTCTCCCTCCTGAACCTCCATCTATTCCTCTCTTAAAGCTCACCTCTATTGCCCATTCTCTTCCTTCTACCTCCCCTCGCCCCTCCACTCCTTCCCATCCCTCTCCTACACTTTCGTGATCCCTAAGTACTCTTCTATCGCTGTCGCTCATTCCTCAATCCTCGTAGCACGCCCCTGTCAACTACATCATTCCATTCTGTCACCGATTTGAAAGCTATGTCAAGTGCTTTGAGTGAAGGCGCTCTATTGTGAAACCCTGGCGTTCCGTTTGTCTGTCAACTAAATTATAAGAGCGCCTTCAGAAGGCCTGAATCTAAAAATTATTGAAAATGGACCCCCCCGCCCCCCAGATGTGGGGGTGAAAAGTTTATCCAACAGGTTTACAACAATCGTCAAACCCCCCCCACTCCACCAAAAAAAGGCAATGTATTTTGTAAGCATATATGCCTACACACCCTACATACAATAATCAGTAGTATCCGCACACATTGGGGGGAGGGGTTGGGAGTAGGACATCAGTTGGGGTGACGGTCGAGGCACTAAGAAGCCCTCCACAGGAGCTAGAGCACCGTGGCCGTAGGCCACTGAAATTCTAGTCAATAGATTAGATTAGAAATTAGATTCCGCTGCTTTTTCTTCGCCAACCTGCTTAGATTGTATTTGACCATTTACAACTGTTCTGTGCCTCTTCTTTGCTGCTCGCATTGACAACCCTTAGATAGACATTCAATAGACTCGCATGCAGTTTACACGCTCTATAGGATTGCATAGAGCACCATGTACTCACATTGAGACCCATACATTCGCATAGGCTTATGTAGAGACGTATAGGCTTACATCTTCTTCTAGGCCAGAAGCCCCATAGATTCGCATACATAAGTTATAGACTTACAGTTACACAATACATATACTTACAAAGAGAACGACAGGCTTGCATACAAACCCATACACTCGCACACAGACCCATAGACTCAGATGCATTTACACAATACATAGAATTACATAAATAAGCATGAACTTACATCGATAATTATACACTGAAATGGAGACACGTACAATTTCATTTTCCAAGCCAAAAGTTCCATTATAGCTGAGAATTATGTACTCATATTTTATTTCCACGTTTATCGATTCTGTGCCTCTTCTTAACTCGTCACGTGCACTGCCATCAAGTCTCATGCTACTGCATCCTCCTATCTCACATGCGGTCTCCCTCAACCATCTACCCTGCATTGGCGGGCATCTACCTATAGCCGTACTAACTGCATCTCATTGGTCTCTTCTCAACACGTGCTCAAGCCATACCATTCTATCGGCCCTTGCCCTTAACCCTGCTAAGTCACTATTTTTTTCATTCTACCTCATTCCCATTAGAGATGCCCCTAACCTCCTTGCAGTTTAAATCTCTACCTGAAGTGACACTCTAAGGCGCAGGATTGCACTGGCCACGATTTCAGCATAGAATGCAAGGACGTTGAGATAGCAACCAGAAAAGTAAGATCTCTGCACAAAATAAACGTTTTTTTTTTTCCCACCTGAATCTTGTCTCATCTCAGCAATATAGCCTTACAGCAAATGCAGAGCTCCGTCGTGTTTATTTTTCATTTATCAATAAAAAAAACGATATATATTTTAGAGTCTATCGGCCCATTGGCTTTCCAGACCAATATAATCAAGCAGCATGTATTTAAGCAAGACAACACTGTATTGTTTTCAACACTTCTAAGTCACATCAGCTGAGTCAGGTCTGTGACCTAAGCTGCCAGGTTCCCAGTCACTGTCAGCAAAAGCACCCCTTTCTTAACGACGGGGTCCTGTTCAGCGCAGAGAGCGATATTCACGTGGAAATCCAGATTGAAAATGTTGCTCATATACGCTTTTACCCAAAATGCTCCACAACATTGCACAATAAGTTAATACAATGTTACAGTATTCTCCAAAGTTTTCTGGCTATTCAAAAATAAATCACTGCATTTTTTTCTCTGACAAGTGCTTAGACCTTCTATGCCTCATGCTGTCAAGCCACACATTCAACCTAGACAAAGTTTCGCAAGAACTGCTCTGCACTCTGTGGCAAGATAAAACTTGGCACACCTCCACACTTTGTAAATGCAAAAACAGCCGGGTAGCGTTTTAAAAACGACCCACACACACCTCTACCCAACGACTCACAAAGAGAAAACCGAGAGTCCTTCTGCAGCAAAGAAGCAATGAAAAATGACGCGGCAAGACGTCTCGTAAAAAAAACAGGGAAACGTTCTTCCTGAGCAGCGCGAATATCCCTTAATTTAATGCCAAAGAGTTTAAAATGTGACGAGTTAATGTAACATTTGCGCGCTTAAGCAGCGGCGACTTTTTTTTGCGTGAAAAAAAGGACACTCGTAAAATACATTTGACGCACATGGTGAGCATATTAAACTTTCCACGGCAGAAATTGTCGCCTTGTTTGCAGAACATTGCTTCATTTGAAGGGGGGTAATCACTTTAGGACGCGACACCGGAGCACGATGACCTGCTCCAGGCGGCGTAGTTTCCCATCGGGCCATGAAGTGGCTCGTGAGCAAATAAACAACGCAGCCTTGTTGACAGCGAGCTCAAAGTGCATTCGCAATGGTACCTCGACGATGGCGAGAACCAGCGAACCTCAACAAACACTCGGAGGGTGAGCACGCCGCTAGACCGCTTACACTTAATTAAAGCTCGACTTGTATTTTCCAGATGGCACGATTTCCCGGCACCCCAGCTCACCTCCACAGTGCAGAGGGCTAATCACAATATAACCGGGATTGACGGTGGCTAAAGGGTGATCATTTAACCAGAGGGGGAATAGAGAGCGAGGCGAAAAGGGTGTGATCCTGAAAGTGTCGGTTGAGATGTAATCAATTATCAGAAGAAGAAGCCGGCACCACCAACCCCAATGTCCCCGCCTCACAACACCAGAAGCAGACACAGTACTATTTCATTGCACGTCTGTCCCATTGGACCTCATTACTAAAGTGTACATTTGTAGCAGTCATGTATTCATAGCAGGAAACATATCTCCAATGTTATTTTATGAGATACAAAGGCTTGTAAAATTAAAAGTTCGTCATCATATGTATATTTTTTCATCATATGACTATGCAGATATGTGAAAATAGCATGCATAAGAAGAATCTGCAGAGGTACCCCTACTAACCCTAAAGACATAGATAACGGTTGCCCAGCACAGGCACACACGTCTAAAATGTCAAGCAGCCCGCAACAAACAGCACTGTTAAAGTTATGGTACTTAAAACCAAACTCCTTCATTTTCCAAAACCGACTCCTCTGCCCGTGCCCTTTCCCCGAGGCCACGTACCTTGTACCCCGAGGACTTGATGTGCACCCCACGCTTGGTCAGAGTGGACTTCATGCGGATGAAGAAGGAGCGATTCAGCGACTCGTCTGGGTTGAGCATGGTGGGCGTGGTGGGCTCCACTGAAAAGGCAAAGAGTCAAACGCGCGTGAGTTGCCTCTCTGTGTCGTCTTCTTCTTTCATCGTTTATTTCTCGACGGGTCACGTTCTAAATGTGCCCTTGAAATCAGGGTGGGGGAATGCCAATTCCCTACAACGTTTCGATGCAACTCGCATTGGGGGAGAGATTCAGAAAGAGGCTGCCACAGAACTGCTTATGAGGGCCTCTTCACGGTGGGTGATTTGAATTGTGTCCATCGACAGGCATTGTTTGTTAAATATCTATGCTGATGTGGGAGCAGAGAATTATACTACAATGAAGGTTTTTCGTTGCACTACCTTCTAATGCCCTCCAGTGCTATACTTGTGCGTAAAAAAAACACACACACATCCTTGTCCCCAGAGTTACTTTCATCCAAATTAAGGATTATATTTAATTAATTTACAGTCCTTTGTCAATTCACTGCCGGTTGAAGGACTCCCCATGGCCGTGTTGTGGTGGGTCTTGTTTGACCAAACTTCACGACGCTGGTCAGCGAGGATTGGTGACGGTGGGGAACCAGGGCTGTTATTTTTTTTGAGAAATCACTCTCCACTGATGTTCTGGCCACAGCCAGGAATTGGACTTAAGTTGCTGGATTCGAAGCGCAATGCAATGCTAACTGCTGTGCCACCACTCCGCCTCATCCTAGATTTCGCCGTTGTGTTTCATGCAGCATTTAGAAACTGTCCTTGAACGATGAAACGCATTATATATATGGGACCTGAGTGTCACACACAGAGTGTGTGACTCAAACCCAGGATGACGACTGACTTCCTCAGGAAAGTATCTCCCAAATGTTGGAAGTTGATATGAACAAATGGAGCCACGCTATTCAGCATTACAGAACATACCCCTGTTGATTTCTGTATCCCGTTATTCAGGAGGTGTGCCACGTTTAAATGATTATGATCTTTAGGTAACAACCATTCAAGACGTATTACAGCGCTGAAGCTCAGAACAGTTCCCATTTTGGCAGAGGTCTTTTGTAATGTACAAAGGTAATGGGCATGCTAAGCCTTCTCGAGAACACAGCGCTTTAATTACACGTTTGGAAGTTTTCAATATCCCTCTGTACTGTGCATACATGTTTATTTATTTATTTTGTAAATGCATCTATTTAAAGTATGCAATCATATTTTGCCAATAAAAAAGGATTCCAAGTATGTTTCCCCCCACGAAGATAACTTGGAAAACATACTGTTAACTTTAATGGCATCACCATGGAATCATTTTCTTAAATTATACCAGCGTGACCATATCGTTTCTCAACTACATCAGAAAAGAATAAGAAATAACTGCGGAAGGACCTTGGCAATCACAGCCATTGGGATGGAACAAAATGTATGTGCAGATTACTTGCGGATTACAGGTTACATTTTCCACGGACCATTGGGATGTGATCAGAAATATATATCCCACTCCTTTCAATGGCTGATTTTGCATAGGTATGCTGATTAAAGCCGTCGTGAATCCCATGGATTTGTGCATGTATCGCATTGCTGTGACGCTAGACCCCTGCCAGGCTCCGGCGAATACTTTTATTGCTTTTTCAAACCCTGCTGGTATCTGTGATTGCCTGGATTTGGAACAAAAGCAGAACTTGGTGACCCAGGGCGCAGCGTCTTCAAGCTTGAATTGCACGTATCATTATATTACCAGAGGCTCCCTCTGTGAACATATCAGTATCTTAATAATCATGCGCAGCATGTTTATGACTATGTAGCTGGCATTTTTTAAGTAATGAAATATGTGTTCATTTTATTTTTTGTTAGATTTACGTAGAGGACAAACATACACATTTATTTTCTCACTCTTTCAAAATCCATGAATAATCCTAACTTGTTTTTACTACTTCTGTACGACTATTCTTATTGCACATTGGTGTGTCACTTCAAGGGAAATGCAATAACCGGCTACTTTGCCGCCAGATAACTTTGTTGGGAGAAAGAAAAAAATTAAAGAGCAGATAATGTTTGTCACTGTAAAGTGAATTCACGTGTCTGTTTAATTGTCAATGCAAGATAATTTAGCTCTTGTGTAGCTAACAAGGAAAGCAAACAGGGGCCGATAAAAAAAATTGTAAACTATTTACTCGGTAAGCTTTAAATTATTATTTGATCCTTTCGGCCACAGTGCTCTTGCCAAGATTAATGATTTCTGAAGGTGAATTGTAAGTCTATGGCAAAATATACTACCTGTGGAAAAACAATTTGCATTGACTTAGAGCAAGAATCGTCATGCATGTATATTCATTTCATAGAATACAACCAAAAAATGTAATGTTATAACAATGCAATTTACAACCGTGGATATTTTTCATTTTAAAAAAAAATCTCATAAAATTCCTTTGCTAAGGCATATGTATGACAATATTGCAAACACAAGATGATACAACTGCAACAAAATAGACTTTTTTTTCTTACTTAAATGCTACCAAGCCGGTTGAGAGATAAAGTAACTACGGGACTCGAGTGGTGAAACTGTTTTGCTTTTGTTTATATTTCTGTGCGTCCATGACAATGTTTTCCCATTCTCGGGCGGTGCTCACAACAAGTGCATTCGGCGAAACAAGGAATCGATTACTATGACAGCTGGAGCGTGACTGCATTGGATTCAGCCGAGCAAGGCTTTTGACGATGTTACCAGTGAAATTTTACACGCCGGAAAAAAAATGGAACAGTGGCATCACTCCATCTGGCTCGCCCGGCACACCAACCGAACTTCATCGAGTGGATGAAATAGGAAATGCTGTACACTGGCACTGTGGTGTTTAAACGTAAAATAAACAAAGTTTTTAAAGACATTATAAGTTTATGGCAAACTTTTTTTCCCTTTCCCCCACTAGTAGGATGGTGTTGATTACCAGGGGAGGAGGAAAATCATTAACGTGTACATGAATAACGTTATTTATGTTCTCATAGTTCAGTTGTGTATAATCTAAAATAGAGGAAGCAATATCGGAGCTAGTAAAAGTGGAATTACAGTCACACACAAAATGTGCCGGCAAATGCCAGCAGTTAAGACGTGAAACAGATTACATTTTTAGCTTCGTGTTTTAGGCTCATAAAAAATGGAACAATTATAATTAAACCATCACAAATTACATGCATAATACCTACCCTGACATGGATGTAATAACCAGATATATCTCCTTATTTACGTCACCTCCACACACACAGGCCTGACCCATCCCCACTATAAACAGGGCAACAATATTAAATGTTGAATCCATTTAGGTTGATGGTCCTAATTTACAGAAAGATGTATGCCGACAGGTCCTAATCAGAAAGAAAGGATTAATTAATATGCAAATGAAAGCAATAAACCTGTTAGGACAAGTCGGCTTTGATCTGAAAAATATTGCCCTTGAGTCTAGTAATCAACTCCTTTGACCTTCATTAGCTTATATCTCTCAGTAAATTTGCATGGCCCAATCAGGACTGATAATCTGTACGGCTGTGCCAATCAAAAAAGTGGTGTAAAACTGATAGCCGAGCGTTGACTATGCCGCGAGTTAATTTTTTTTTATAACTGTTGTTGGCTAAAATCAGCGTCGGCAGGGGGTTAGTGCGAGAGGTTAGAGTTAACAAAGGACAGACGCATCCCTCCCAACATTTCATAACACTCACTTGTTACGTGCAGCCCCACTCCACGCTATATATAACGACCGCCCGACAAAATGGAAGGCGTAAAGCCTCATCGTGCGGAAAGAAAAGGGGGCATTTGATTTCTCCCCAAAATACAACTTCGTTATTACATTTGGCATTCTTTAGTGCTTGGAAATTCTCGGTATTTTACGGTAATGGCAAAACAGGGCAACACTATACCTTAAATAAAAGGGGCTGCAGGAACACTTTGCAGCCAGGATGGCAATCAATACCTCTTGATCAATATCGCGGTCTCAACACCTACCAATCTCAACATAATGCCGCCCGCTCTCGACTCCTGGTTTATTGCAAGGCGCCTATGCACACTCGACGCGCCGGCTTGGGAGACATTAGCGCGCATTGAAGACTACGGGGAAAGTAACAAATAATGAAAAAAGTAAGATTGCAATCGATCCAAATCAAAGGCATGTGATGGGGAATTAAATGGTGAGAATGAATGGCAAAAAGTATAAACATTACCCTGCATTAACTTGCTTGGAATGTTATTTACAACATTGGTTGTCATTTCTGCATTTACCTTGAGCTAGATTAGGCTATTAATTTCTGAGGAAACGTCAAAGTTGCATTATGTATTATGTAGTTTTGCTTCGAACTAGGACCCATTTCTTACAGAAAGGCCCTTGCCTATAAAAGCATCGGGCAGTTCACCAGCATTGTTTAAGCAAGCCTACAGTAACTCTGCTGATGAGATGCTAAATGTCACGACCGATCCAGAGTTTGCTTCTATTAAAACCAATGCGACAGATAGTTTGCACTCCGTGTGGCTGATGGGTTACGTTAAAAATGTAAAATAAAATATGTGGAGAGACAAATGTTGGCAGGAGGTGCTGGGTTTGTTTTGTTCCCTGACTGGTTCTCTAAAATGAATGTAATATAAAATAAAGACATATCTGATTTAGTTTCTCTACACATTCGTAAATTAAGAATTCAGTGTCAGAATCACCTAAGGAGCTATAAATTAATAATGGCGAAGATTATTAATGCCCGCTTCATCTCACAAAAAAGTTCACAGTTTAATACAACTTGCACATGTTAGCACTTTCAGCAGCACAAGTCAGCATCGTGATATGCTGATCAATTAGTGATGCTTATCAGCATTTAACATGAACAATGATTATATTACAAAACGCACTGTCACGTGTAAAATACTTGCTGATAATGAACTTCTCAGATCAACACTGGTGCGTTAGTGCTGCCTCAGCGCGTGGAAAAAAAAGGTCTGCTCGCAAATCTTAACAGAGGATGTTCATTATTTTTTTATTACCATCCCATATTGGTGGAACAATTGACACTTCAGTTTGGCTTCACCAAATGATTGATGAAACTCAGGGTAATTTAGGAAAATAGTTGTAGGCAATGTTGCTTGTAATGCTTGATAAAAAAAATCTGACAAACTTGTTTTATTGCTGGCTCTTCCATCACTTTCGAAGTCCCCCCAATGATACGGTGTACATTACAAAAAAACTGCACGTTTCACTTTGTGTCGAAGATACGCGCTGCAAAAATAACGTTTCTTTTTATCTGCTTCGAGTATCACAGAGTTGAGGCTCTGACCATTTTTTTACAGCAATTAAACGCAACGGTATAGCTATTTAACATCTACGCCCACAATAAAATAAAATTATGCTGTATGTAGTTTCACAGATTATTGGGGTAAACGCGGAGGTATTTTTTCGTCTTTTTCCAAATTTTATTCCAATTCTGCTATCGTCGTTGTGTCACGTAATTAACTACCCACTCGGAATGCTCACAGAGCAGTGCGATCCTTTGTGTTAGAGAACGGCTCAGAGATGCAGATATCGCAGAACAACGTCTGAGCTTCTTTCAGGTTACCTCTTCAATCCATATGAGACGGGCAAACACTTTCTCACATTCCCTGCTGCAGTGGAATGTTCTTCACGTGGCAGTAAAACCAATATTTTAACTTCTCATAGGTGGAATGTTGCCAGTTTAATGTGACGGACTTTTTGTGTGCGTCTGTAGTGATTGGCGACTGGGCTGAGACCCACAACTCGCCACACTTGGAAACAGCGTTTAACTGTGGGCAGCCGAAACCCGGATTGGAACCCAGAATCACACGGTGGCAGCTGAGTGCTGTGATCCCTGGCTCAACTTACAACCTCTCTGTTAGTCATTCTATTAAGGCCAGCTCGACAACCAGCCACATTTGTCTCCCTCACCAGTGCTGTATAAATCAACATGGGGAAGATTTACACCACGTGCAGTGACTATGTTCGACTGTTGTGATCATACTTGTAACAATATGTACTCACCAAATACGAACCATGTACACTTTACATAATTCATGAGCATCATCATCCACCATGGTCAATCCACTACTGTATAGGAGTAAGACCTCCCCAAGTCACTGCCATAATTTTAAATATATAATTATACACCTGTGTTTTTTCCCTTGTGAATATAATGATTGTCCAAGTTGCTGCATATATGAAATTAAGATCAAATTATTTAACATTTTAACCAAATATTATTCTTGAGATTTGATTTTTTTTACCACAATATAGCGGTTTTAGTGGAATAAATGTATTGCTATAGAGTAGTAAACAAAATGTTGTCTTTGTGGAATTATACCAAACACACAATCTTGACTTATCCTGAGTAACCTTTCGTTTAATAAGCAATGACAACGCTATTAAATTTGGTGCATGTTTTCGATAATTGTACCCGTGAACTGTAGCTCACCAAGCTTAAGGATTTGACATATGGAAATCCATGATCCAACAAATGTGCACATTGATTGCACTTATAGGTAGAAGGTGTCGTTTGTTTATTTTTCAAGAATCTATTCAATAGAAAAAGGCCAAAAGCAAAAAAATGCAACGTCATGGAAACTGAAATCTTTAAGCAGATCACTAACGCACACTCTTAAGCCAAATGGTAAATCCATTACTAAGGTGCCAGATTATGTAGCCAACATGGCTCATAACAAAGCCAAGAACCCTAACACGTATCTTATGGCTTTCCAGCCAATATGTTGAAAGTAGCTGCCAGTGCAGTGGAACCACATGTCTGGTTTGCTATTGGATACAAATAAGGTTGGTGGTTCAACTACAACAATCAGAGAAGCGTTACACATGATCACAGATCCTGTGATACGGAGGCAGAACCCTACTGAATTATACATCAACACAAACATGCTTCCCACTCATCGCATCTCGGCGTAAATCGTCTGCGGTTGCAGTGAATTAGGTTGGGACACGGCCACAGTTGGCGGCACAGCAGGCTTCCCATGTATAAGACATGAGTTCAAATACATGCCAGGGTTTACTCAGTCAGCTCATTATTCCTCTGAGGAAGGTAAAGCAAGGCAACAATTTTAATGTTTAAAGGCAATCTACATTCTCCAAGGGACTGTCTTTGTGCCTTTGATTTTGTTGAGATTTGTGTTGTGTTAATGTATTATGGCTGTTATGATACGTTGGTGCATCGATTAAAATCGATTCTAAATGAGAAAGTTTTCGTGGCTCAGGGATCAGAGTGATGAGCTGGCACTGCTGAGATCCTGAGTTCGAATCATGTGGTTAAACCTGGTTCTCAAGTGTGGTGAATTGATGGTTTCAGGTCATTCACTGATAACTGCACAAAAAGAGCTATTATATTACATTTGGTTCTGCACTTTGAGGGAGCTCTGTTATATCCGCTTCTGTAGACCATTCTCTGAGTATGAAAGGCTGCATGGGTCTATGAGAGATCCAAATAAATAACTAATTTTGTAACATGATGCCGATAGTACAATCTTGGTAAAAATTTGGGAGGGAAATCGAAAGTTAAAATGATAAACTATGTGCATCAAATCACACTTTTAAGAATTAATTCTTTTCAGCTCTATTGTGCTGAATATAATTCATTTGTATCACTTCTACAGCCACTAGAGGCGTTAAAAATACACCACAATGTGGTTGCGAGGAAGGGGAGGGGGGTGGTTGGGCAGTGGGGGGCGGTGGCTGGATCGTTACATTTATCCATAATGCAGTGAGGCACGCCATGGTGGTGAGATGTTAACTACCTCGCCTGTTTTACAGGAGGTCGTGGGTTCGATCCCGACCCTGACGCCTGCTGTATATTTCGAATTTACGTGTTCTCTCTCCCCATTGCCACTTGTATTTGTCTCCGGGCCCTCTGGTTTTTCCCTCCGCATTAAGAAAAATACTCGTTTAGGGTATTTGGTTGCCTATAAATTTCCGCGCGATAAGCCACGTGGTCGTTCTATCATGTGTGGCCAGGTCGCTTGTGAAAAATAACAATATAGCCCAGTGGGCCTTACCTGGTAAAAACAAAATTGTCAAAATAGAATCGCAATGTCGCTCGTCATCAAATGCCTCGGACTCACTCGGCTCTGGCGTCTCTGCTTGCGAGGAGGAGGCTGAGCTGGCGCCGTCCTCCGCGGCCGCCTGCAGGGAGGCATTCCTCCCCGGAGGCAGTTTCATCCCCAGCTGCTCGGCCAGCTCGGAGTGGTCCGCTGGGTGCACGTAATCGAAGGCGCTGCTCCCAGCCATCTCCACCTGCCAATACGCACGCACGGACGGACGCGGCGTCGAACAGCGAGCATACTGCTAATAATGCGCGCACGGACACAATGGGTGCGTGGTAAAGGTGCGGCCCTGCGGTTGAATTGGAGATAATTTAAGGGGCCGGCAATGGGTCTCATTTACAAGAGTGAGCAGGGTCGCCAAAATGACAAAAGCAAAAAAAATATTGCTGGCAGAGGTGCTCCCACTCGTGCGAGCTCAAGAGAGCCCCTCTATTGGGTATTTGGCCTACTCTTTAACGCTGGCCAGAGGCATAAACACACAAAGACACAACAAAGACAAATATTCCCCCTTTTAGCCTGAACAGATATTTAGGGAAAGTGCTGTTAGCGAGCACCTATGAAGGCTGGCACGTCACACGAAGGGGTGGGTGGCCAGCACCATGCCCGGCCGTCTTTGTCTCCCCAGTGGCGATGTTTATCACGCCAGGTACTCAATTGAGGCTGAGTTGACTTAGCCCAGGACCGATTCAAATATTGGTCGTGAGCGAGAATCGAATTTGGGTTGCAGGGTTCATAGTGCAGTGCGTTAACCACGACACCACCTCTCCCCATACATGCACGAACGCACACACAAGCGTGCGCGCACACACTCCTCATGTCCACATGGACACAAAAGATTAATGCAAAGCGGAGCCCTGCAATTACTTGGTGGCAGATGAGCCTCCACTATAGGGAGCAAATGAGTGCCTCTCTGGAGGGTTACTTGGCCTACTCTTCCACGCTGACCAAACATGTTAGGAGAGGCGGGAGTACCCACACTTTACCCCACCACACACACGACCTGCCGATTGACAAGCTGTGGTCTATCCATTCCCATTGCTGGATGAATAGCGGTATCGGGGATTTAAGAAAGTTGCACAATTTGTTTCAACTGCCATGCCGGAAAATGAAATCGAAGCCGGCGACCTCTGGATTTGAAGTGCGGTGTGCCGCTGATCATTACGCCACGCCAGCAATTCTATCCCCTTGCACACAAGATGTAAATAATACCAATGCATTTCTTCCGCTACTGCTGGCACTTCAGTGGCACCAATAACACGGGCTGTCTTATGCTCTAATAGCAAACAAATAAATAAATGCATTTAATTAAGTAATATTGCTCGGCAAACAAAAGTGAGAGAAAAAGGCAATCTACCAAACCCTTCGAGCATCTCTTCATATTGGTGGAAAATCTTTTTGGCCGTGAACATTGATTCCCCCCCCAAATTTTTTTTTCAATCAAAATGTTTCGACTACGTTCTGGATAAGTACACATTTTTATGCACAGCTGCGAATTCACACTCGCTTGTCCATAGTCGCACATGCTTGTGCAATGTCGAACATCGCAACACAATATGCCTAAGCACATATGAATTCAGGAACGAGATGGGCCTCATTTATCAAAATGCCAATAATAAAGCTACTCTGGACAAGTGGATATAGTGCATGTGCTCACATAAAATAAACAAATGAATATTTCATTGTAACTGCTGAAGCTGGCGTCGTTTTCATTTTCAAGAAATTCTCCCTTTTATTCTACACATGGCTTGCTGTGCGCTCAGCGTGCCACACATAAGCGTGGAGAAGATGCGGTACGTTAAATAAGCTTTCCAGACGTGGATCAGCTACTACACCCCCCCCCCCAAAAAGAAAAGAAACATGCAATATTTTTTAAAGCACAAAATAACAGTGATACAAAGGAGAGAGAGATAAAATCGTACACGTGAAATAAAATATATAAAAAAAACTTATTTTGCAAACAAAACACACGCAAGAAAAAAGTATTGAATGGAGGCACTTAAACTCGTTACACAGAGTTGCCTATTTTTACTCCCTTGTTTTGGTGCGTATTTTCAGTAAAGCATTTATAAACATACAGCGGTAAGAATCAATGGGAATCCTGGGGCCTTTAGGCAGGCGAGCTGGTCCTTTGCCAGAGAATTTACTTTGCTGAATAAATGCTTGTTGTTTTGGGGGGGAGTACATCCCTCCCACGGCAAGGCCCTGGCGAAAACTATTCATTACAGACAATAAATCTCCAGTGAGCAATGCCAGCTTTAAAGAATGAGGAATTTATCATGTGATATGCCACCCACGGTTCTCCGGGCTGCCTAGCAATATGAGGGAGAAGACTACCCATGATCGTTAATAGCAAAACAGTATAAATTTTGATTATGATCAGGAGCCACTCTTTCCTCGGGTACCTTCCATGGCAGGGAGAGGTGAGGATAACAGTCCCTAAAAAAAAATCAGCGGCGGCCGCTGAAAATTGGAAATGTAAATTTGTGCAGTGTCATCTGACACGGTGACTAAATTACACATAACATTTATGGGCCGTTTATCCACGAAGCAGTCAGCCCGCATTAGGGTACACAAGGATCAGTTCATTGCTTTTCGGAGGAGATTTATGGAACGTTTGGCTCCTAAACTCAATAGGCTAATTGTGTCCTTGTCAGAGAGCAATGACGGACAACTCGGCCTTTTCCCCCCTATCCAAAAAGCACAAGTCAGCCTGCCAGCCCCATCAAGAGCCATCAAACTAATGGGAAGCTGCAATCCCTGTCTAAAGATATCACCCAAATAAGGATACCCTCCACAACATGTTTTGAATTCCGTCTAATGATCTTGGCTGCAGTCCACAGCGCACCTTGGCCGGTGATACTTTGATTTTGTTTATTCTCTAATGGAGAAATCTTACCAGGTTTTAAAAATACATTCATCCACTTATTGATTCATGTTTTTGAGATTCGGTGGAGGAGCGATGGAGACATTGTGAGCAAGGGGTTACGGCAAAATAGGTGGATTGAGAATGCAAATGCAGCGATTGGATATTTTTTTTATAGATAATTGTTTTAAAGCCGTCGTTCACAAATGCATTAACATTGGCGTTAAGACAATGGTTACACGGAATTTAATCTCGCGAACGGAATTACATTTTAAAATATTCATTTGTATGTGATAGGACAGATTACGTTGGATTATGTATTGTATATTGTTCACACGTATCAAGTACGCCTATTACATCTGGGAAAACTATCAGTACAACATTTCTGCGCAGCGGAGAATTTACATAACAAGAAGTGATATTTTTAAATTGTGGAGCAATCGAAAATGTATGCCGCATATTGATTTATTAATGAAATACAATTGTGAAGTGCAAATGTGAAGAAGCGCGTGTTACTGCAGGGCCTACTATTATAGCGCGGCAGAAGCAAATACATGCAGCATTCTGTTCCTCTGCGTATGCACTTGCCCTTGTCGGATAATTATAGAAAACACCTTCCGGTAAACACTCCAAATCTCTGATCCCCCTTTATCTCTCCATTTCAGCCCTGCCCGCCATTTCCCATGCTGCCGGTTTGCTAATTAATTGAAAACAAACGACCGGCTTTTTCAAAAGCGAGTCCCAACGGTGCCCGTGTGTTCCCGGCTGCATCGATCAACTTCACGCTCCGGCAGCTGTGGATGCCGATACAGTGTGCACGCGCGTGTGTGTGTGTGTGTGCCCGGGCTTGCGCGCATGTGTGCGCGCGCCCGTGTGTGTACATACACACGCGCGCGCGCACACCGTGAGCCCGACCGCCCACGGTAAAGGGGGGGGGGGGCTCAGGGTGTAAGATCACCGGAGGGATTGGCGCCGATTATCAACGCGTCCTGAGCTAGCTAGCGCACAGCAGATAGGCCCCTCAATCATCCTGCCACTGCAATCAATTTTTGCCTCTTGCCCTGAGTCATCGAATAATCTGTGAGGCCAAACTCAAAAGATCACTCTCAGCAATTTTGGCTCGGCAGCCCGCCCCCAACGCAGTCTGTGGAGTTTGTATTTTTTTTCTTGTGCGGTTTTGTAATTTCTATAGCTTTTTGTTCATTTTAATTATTAACGAGCAGCATTTTGCTCAATTTGAGGTACTGGTAAAATAGTAGCCTATAGTGCCAGCTTGACCATATGATACGTGTTGCTTACAAACAAATTATTATATTTTGCATCTGGGAACAAAATGCTTCACATATTCCAGGTGGTAATGAAGTCTGATGCGAATTTGTTGCCAATAATGTGACCGAAATAAAAAAAATAATGGTGAAGTTTTCTCCCCCCCCCCCCCTTCTAAAGCTGTTGATTTTTCATGTCATATAAATACAAAAATTCTAAACTTCATTATGCAGTGCCCTGGGGGGAATGGGAGGGTGGGAGAAACGACAATGTGCAAGAGATTTGGCAACATTACAGAGTCATTTGGTGTAAAAATTGGCCATCTGTTAACACACTTTGGACATTGCTTTCATGGTAGGGGGGTGTCAGCAAACACTCGTTAGAACAAATTCTTGCTTCAAGTAATTACAAACTCTGAAGGTTAAAGCAGCATTAGTGTCAATTACTGGTCCATAATTATCCATGATGGGTAGTTAATTGTCCTTTGTGTGACAATTAATCCATTAATTTCATTACAGGCTCCAACAATTATGCCCTTTTCCGAGACTGTAAGGCTTCACCTGAAGGCAGGCGTCGCAAAAAAACGATGGTGATGCTTTCTGTCGCCCGCGGATCTGAGGCCACAGAGGTTGACAGCTACAGGAAGGTGAACCGCTCAGACACCGTCCAATCCAATCGCAGACGATTCCCGCTGCCAAGTGTCTGTAGCGTTTAATCGTTGCATTAATGCTGGATTCTCATCATACTTGGTAATGTAGGCATTATCAGAGACAGCTCTCTGAAGCATTGCAATGGGAAAGCTACTAATGGATTCAATGGCAAAAACACTTTAGCCATGCGTCATAAACTTTTGATGCTACTCTTGTGGCTTCCACTATGATTGCCAGTTGGATGAGATGTGCACATTCCCTCAATCAGATGACGAAAAGGAGCCAAAACTTTTAGTTGGGCTAATCTGCCTCATTTATCCCAGTCATCGCATAAAAGCTTAATATTTAACACCGCCTTCAATTTACTTCATTGGAGGTTTGAATTAATAACCACATTTTTTTTGTTTACCCAGGAAACGCTGGGTTAAAAAAAAAACTCAATTTCAAGACACCACTTTGTGGAATGTTTTGCCAGTTACGTTGCTACAATAAAATGTAATTTAGATGAATGCGGACACATCAAAATGCATGCGCATCTCAAATTCCTTCTCGAGAATTCTTGCCCAGAGAAAACCCGCTCATGCACGGTAATAACATTAAAACTCTGCATCTGTACTTTATGTACAGACACGTAAGTTGCCCCTTCATTGTGGGTGCCTCAACACGATCCATCCCGCTCCAGGCCATTGCACCACCAAAATGACCAAGTTAAATATCGAATACCTTTGGTATTGTCAGGTGCTGCGTAATGGCTAGTGGCATGAGGTGAGATCGGATCAAACACCGTGTAGCTCACCAGCCATTGCTTTCATGACCAGCGCCATTACCTCCTCTCTCATCTCGCTCTACTCCCCTTTGCGTGCTCTCCACTCCAGTGAGTCGGGCCTCCTCACAAAACCCTCTGTCGGCCTCCGCTCAGTGGGAGGTCGCTTATTCTTTGCCAACATCTCTGTGGTTTTGGAACTCCTTCCCCCAGTCATCCATGCTGCTAACTCCCTGCCTGTTGTCTTCTCCATTTCCTATGACTGGCTGCATCCCATAGTCTGGAACTCCTTTGCCCTGATTATCCATGCCACCGATTCCCTGCTCCCGTTCAAGTCTTTTGTTCTGCCTGTGACTGTATGCAATCTATGAAGTGTTTTAAATATTAAATTATATGCATATATTTTAATTGGTTCCCCGTGATATGCACAACCTGCTTGTTGTACAGCATCCCGAAATGCTCCTGCATTTAGATGCTACGTAAATACAAATTGTATTGTATCGGCATCAGGTGCCACCACTTTAGAAAGGGCATTTACGACGCTTAATTAATACATTGCTCATTAACTCTTGCCCACAGCTGCTTTAAAGCAATGCTCCAAACATCTGACATTGACTTGCCGCAGTGCACCCCACTGCCCGACTCTACCCCCACGTCATTGAATTTCAACACTGGCAAGAACCGATATCATGGAAAGTTAATGTGGAACCATGGTGAGTGCGACCGGAGAAAGTCCTACCTGAGAGAGTCCCAGGTATATGGACACCGTCTCTGATATGTAAAGGAACCTCCCATCGAAATTCAGCACAAACACGAAACCATCCAGAGACTGCAAGACACGAGCGAGACAATGCAATGAACGCAACACATCGAGTGAAGGGATCAATACGTTTCAATGGTAAATTAAACAAAATTTACGGTTGTATATTTGGTATAACATTGGAGAAGGAACGCCTATAACTCAAGGCTGCTGCCGCTGCGCTGATTCCGTGCTTGTGTTAAGTGGCAAGGGTTAGAGCCATCCGTCCGAAGTTAGTTTGCTACCGTTTGTCAAACAGTTTGCAAAACATTCACAACAGCTTGAGTGGAGAGATGCTGGAGCGTTATTGACTTTTGTAATGGAAGACATTAGATGCTGGCTACCTGAGCACCCTAATTTGAGGTTCATCTGGGACGGATAATCCATTGATTAATCTTCAGCGGTTAAATGTGGCCCTAATTGTGACACTCAAATTCCACAGAGGCAGCAAAGCTGACAGACAAGTTTCACAAACTTCAATAATCCCAATGTCGGCATTAGAATTATTTTTCCCCTCATGTATTCTTTCGTAGCCAGTGTATGTGCGCCATATGTATTCATCTGTCATTTCGTGACAAGCAATTTGCATTAACATTAAGGGGACGTCAATTGATTCGCTATGGACAAGTGTGTTAGAAAACAATCTATACCGCGGATAAAAAAAAATTCATTAACATTTGGTAAAAAGGTTAAATTAGTCATGCCTCTGAACAAAGACATCGCCGAGCATATTGTGCAACAATTGACGAGTATTGCGCAAATGCAATAGGATCTGTGCGTTAAGTGCCAACGTGGAAAGAAAGCGATTATTTTAAAGGATAATCTAAAATGATCCGTCATCAGGCTGCAAAGGTACTCTTTTTATCAAGGTGGTGATTACAGAAATGCGTGTATTTGAAACATGGTAGTTTTGCAGACACCAGTGCATCGTGTGAAGCAGAGATTCTTCGGAAATACTTGGAAATATATAAAAAAACAATATTTGAAAAGGACACGCTCATCTGAGCGATGCATAAAGTTGGTTAATAGATCGTGAATGGATGGTTGGTTGCTAAGTGCTAATACGTAATAAACTACACATGAAACAGAGCTGTGTAGCAACGCTCTGAACATGGTCTCAGACAGATCATTTATTGTAGAACCCGTGAAAACCGAACAAGACAAAGTCTCTTATTGAAGACGGCCCTGGGTTGCGAGGTCAAATGCAGGAGTAAGACAATTGACTCGTCGTGAGAAAATTCAATATACCACTTTCACTAAACTCTAAAACCGAATGAAGCTATTCAGCATTTGCACTTTATTAGAAGTCATATATGAATAATATGATTTAACATGTGGAAACATACGCGTGGATGTGTGAAATGTCTATAAAACAGCAACTGAACAGAATTATGTTTCTTGTCCTTTTTAAACAATTGAGTAATCAAAGGCCAGGTTATCGTCACATTGCTCAGTGTTATGAGCTTCATGCTGAACACGCATGATTGCAGCCCATGACTACTTCAGATTTTATGAATTTACAATGCGTGGCAATAACCTGGAGCCTTGTTATTTGTTTATGTACATCGTGATACATTATTGCTTTGTCTCTTTTATTAACCTACACAGCCAAGGGTTATTTTATTCTCTATAATAGGCACGTAACAATTACACATTCGGCAACCACCATTGATTTGATGAATTGTCATAATTCGAGGTCATTATTTTATTCAAGAACCATTTTTTTATTGTTTTTACCATCTCATTTGGATCGTTTCTAGATTGATATTTTTGGTCTCGATTGTACATTATTGTCCACCCTGTTAGCCTAAAAAGAACATTAGCATGTAATTGGCACAAATAATAAATAATTAATTCTCGTACAAAATATTTAAAGCATGTTTTCTGAATATGAAAAGAAATTTTAATTGTTGAAAAATAACACTGCCTTAAAAAGGAAAGATCGACAAAATGTGACGTTTTTCGTAATTTCCCGAAACTGAGGAAACTTTTGAGTCTTTCTTTATATGCGCTGGGTGCCAGCGCTAACGCAGCATCACTACATTATTTGTTTAATTTTAATATTTGAATCGGTGCATTGTTACATGCCTACGATCGAGTAAATACCATAACTACTATTATAATTTACCAGCAAAAGTCCGCTGACCTGTTTGTTCTTTTTCAGAGGCATGGCCACACATGATAGCTCATCAAAGTGGCTTATACAATAATCATACGTGTGAATTTATAGTCACAGCCAATTAATCTACACGCACGTTTCGAAATGTGGAGGGGCAAAACCGAAGGAACGAGAGAAATTCCACGCGACCACAGGGAGAGAGAAAATGTTAACTCCAAATATACAACAGGCATTGACAGGGTCGGGATCGAACACACGACCTCCTGCATAGCAAACGAGGGAGATAACTTCTCGTCATCGTGGCACCCCTAATAATTTTCACCTCGAATACTCTACATCACAAGTGCAACACCGCATCCATTCATCGATCAATACTGATTCGTAAGCTTGCAATAAGTGCACCGAACCATGCGCGTGAGAATCGTGTTATATTATAGTCATACACATTGTGTGTAATGAGATCGCGTGAAACCTGCAGCCACTAGTTGCCACTAACATTTTGTTTTAATCGAATCCAATCTTGACGTTGAATCACAAATCACAACTCAACAAATTTGGTGGGATGAGGGGGGTTGCGGGTTTGGGGTGGGTGTGAATTGGTACATATTTATTGTATACATAAAACACTTGTCCAGAATGTAAAACGTGCGTTTATCAGTTAGTAAAATTTAGTGGCAAGATGCCATTTTATGCTTTCACTGAGAGTACAAAAAAGCTACAAATGTCACGATCCTTTATGTAACGAGGTAACATTAATTTTAATATTTCAGCGTTGTAGACACATACATAAAACATATATCGGTGTCAAATGAATTGTGTTTATTTATTGACACGTTTAATTGCACACAGTTAGCAGTGCTCAGCTTATAATTTACAATGTGCTTTGATAACTTAATGCAAAGGGTGACACTCTCGCTTTTGGAAAAAATTAGATGAGCACACTTGACACCGAAATACAGAGTATATCTGAATATTTAGAATATTTATTTATTCATACTGGAGGAATCTGATGAGCTATTAAGCTCTTTTTAACAGATGTCCAATAATACACACAAGACGTGCATTTTCAGTGCGGCACTTTAGCCCATCTTTAGCAATATCCAGGAGTTGGTGGAGCCTGTAAGGATGGAAGCAGCAACCCAATTATCTCCGTCTGTATGTAACACGGGGGGTCACGCTAATGCTCGCAAAGATGATACAATATAAACATTTTAGTATAAAGTTGTAATACTCTTCGGAATTTATACGATTGAAAATTGAACCAAATTGATTAAAAGGGTTGCCCAAACCTGGAGATAATAAAAACACCCGAGCTAAATGGATGAGATGTGTTGTGTTTGCTTGGAAGGTCAGTTGGCATCAACCTGGGAGCCAGCCAGCTGCGCGCTCAGCCTGGCGTTCGTGATGGCATGTCATGGCATGACAGTCAACTCTCAGCAGCACGGTCATTATAACTTTGACCTCTGTGAAGTCCACTACACTGCATCCAATTATTTTTTTTACACTTGTGTAATCGTGCCGTTGTCTTTTAAATAGCATTTGCTACTTTTATTTAACTGGATTTATTTTTTTATTAATGTCTCCTCTGTTTACGATACCCTAACCAACAGTTGAATCTGTGTGTACTCTTGAACAATTAGTTTGCAAGTTTTAAACTCTTGTCTACATATCGTTGGTTTCCGTTGGATATTGGCAACTGGCAACTTTAGATTGTAGTGCTGCCTGCACCGGGCTGATGTATTGATTAATTCATCACTCGCGCAGACTCGAGCACAGTCAAACGCAATGGAGACGTAGATGAAAGCATAGATTCCTGATGAGTAAGGCTACGGTTTTGACACGGAGGCCGTGATAGTCACAGAAATCGTGAATTTGCATAAAATCCGTGAAAACTTGAAAATTGAAAATGGCTAGAGCAACACATTAGAATCCGCACTTTCTTTATTTCCTCCTTTCAAATATGCCAAATGTCAGGGGCAATGCCGCACCCCAGTCTGTCACGTTCCCGAATTATTGTTTTCTCACCTCGGCCACGAATGTTATGAAAAATTACCACTCCAAAATCATAGCATTACGAATGAAGTTTGATGCTTTGGTGAAGGGGGTTCCACCCCCCCCCCCACCCCCCACGGGGTTTTCTCATTCCATTGTGACTATTTATTCAGTCAGTTTGTGCCAAAAGTTGTTCTGCTTCTCACCTGGAGGATTTGGCTGCCGAGATGATGCTCAAACACTTCCATGGCCAGGGCACTGGAGCTTCTCCTCTTCTGCCCTATCGCTGCACCACACAATGACAAGCAGCACACAGCAGCAGCAGCACCCCCCCCCCCCCCAGGCCCCCGTCAACCACATGGCACACGCTGTACATTGATTAGCACTCGACAAGGAGGAAGCAAATCTCACCAGCTGTTTGGCGCTGTAAAACAGCACCCTTAGAACACGAACACAGGTGAGAGAGCGACGTGATGTCAACGCTGCTGCACTGTTGCCACCAGCCGTAATCCTACCCCCTCGGCTTTTATTCATGCAAGAAAAAAAAGCAGGGGAAAATGCAGCAAAAGCGCTCTTCGGCTCATTATCAAATTGCCTCTGAAAACAAATTTCTCCCAGACATTTTAATCGTGCCGACTTTTGAAACAGATCCACGGGCCCAGCCGTCATACGCCGTTCTTTATTTATTTAGTTTTACTTTTTCTGCGCAAACACTGCAAAAAATCAATCGTAATATCTGGTTCAACTACTCTTGGAGAGATGATGATATAATGAGGATCTACTGACTGGCAGAAAAGGGGAAAAAATGAGGCAGCAAAGGATGAACTCTATAGAAAAGCATTACACCGCTCGTTCCTCTACATTGTAATTCATAAAGGAATTTTACATGTGAAAAATCCTTTATTCAGCTAATCGTACGCTTGACTTTCAGCCGCCCTTGAATGTTACTATAACTACAGGCAGTTACTGAATGATGACCCATTTAAGTACCTTAATGGGTGTCATTTAGCAGCAGTTAAATATAATGACGGGGCATTTAGCATACAAACAATAACACCGTTATATACATAAAGCTTGCATTTTGTGTGGATGACATTTTAAAAGCCAGTGTTACCACGCTCTGCAGACAGATCTGGACAGGGGCCAAGAGCGGTGCACAGAATAGAGGGGGGGGGGGCTTGGCGGCCTAGGGTTGGGGAAACTCTTTTGTGAAAAGGCACCCAAATCACACGGTAAGGGTCAATGTTGTGTTAGTGCCCAAAACCCACATGCGATACACAAAAACGGGCCGTGCCGCGGTGGATTTATGGGAAGCGCAGCAGAAGGAGTCATTTCCATTTTGATTCATTTGCATTTCTGCTATTTATTCTCCTGGAATCAGGTGCGGTCCCATCAATCGCTTCACGAATCGAACTGGGCAAGTCAATAAAAATAATCTTACAACGGAGGGTCACGTGCACAGCTCCTGTTGCCCCACCTCCCTCCACCCCCCTCCACCCACCTCCACCCACACCCTCGCCCACCTTCTCCCGCAACCCACTCCCCGATCTGTCCTTGGCAGAGTCTGAATCAAATGCTCGCACCGGGCCACAATTCCCAAATACTAACGCGTGACTAATTTGTGTGCAGCCACTGTTTCAAGCTCATTTTCTTTAGACCGAGTATGTTTGCAGGTAGCCAAATACATATAGGGTATCCATTTTTTACAGACTATGGAACCCAGAATTTTCCATAATCACAGTTATTGCATTTTCACTCCACGGAGTGATACACTGCAGCTTTGTTCCATGTGTAATGATATATTTTTTTACACGTATATATGTGAACACTAAAAAAAAGCAAGGATATATGACCCATGAGAGAGAAAAAATTACACAAAATGCAATGCGTCTCCTGCAAACATTGTATGTACATTATTTGTGAAATATCAAACGAACAAAATATATATTTCATTTGGTCTCTTTTTCGGACGAAAAACTGGTGCTGAACCTTGGATCCCATCTTGTTTGATCATGAACACATTTCTTAAATCTTTTCGACGAAATACTGGTGCTGAACTTTGGATCCCATCTTGTTTGATCATGAACACATTTCTTAAATCTTTTCTCCGATCTGAACTGGTCTTGGCCTCAACTTCGCTTGCCAAATCGCAACTCACGACTGCACCCTTCTGTACTAAGTGTATCCCACAAGGCTCGTCCAAAGCATATATTCGAGCTCAGATGTAGTGCCCTTATTCCAAGACGCTGATGGCATAATCTTTACGTCTGGGATCTAAAAGCTCATGAAACCATTTGGGCTGAAGGGACATGTATATAAAGGCAGCACGACTAGTTTTTTTTTGTCATTGCCAGCAGGTCATTATCCCACAAAGAATTTAAAATGAAAGACACACTGACATTTCTTCTCCCCCCCCCTCAAGTCAAAAGTAATATAAACAATTAAAATAGCCCTTTGAGAAATCCACTGCTGGGTAAAGGGCTCACCACAAAGTGGCGGTCATGGGGGTTGTTCAACCATACTTCACCATACTGGTCAATGTGAGTTGGTAAAAATTGGAGGCCCGGTATCGTTTCAGATATCACTCATCACTGAAGTTGTCCGTGGCTGGGAATTGAACTCACCAGGTTCATAGTGATATGCACTAACCACAATGTCATCATTCGCCAAATAAACCATTATCATGCCTAAAAAACATAAATCCGTTTTTTTTTGCTGATGGAAATTACAGAAGTCTCGCATTTCCCACGTCCTATTTGCATTTGTTTGAATGCATTTTTAAAATGGAATTCCCAAGCGAGTTTTGCTGTGTTATGAGTGAATTGAAGTGCGCTGCTCTATTTGCTGCAGACTTCACAGAAGGCGGCGTACTTTGGTATTGGTTAAAAGGAAGGCCGCCCGCACGTGGGAATAGCAGCAAATGTGGCACTCTGCTGACACAGATGTGATGAGCACTTGCTGAAAATCAGCAGGTCATCAGACAAGCAGTGAGACGGCAATTGCATGCAGGGAGTCACTTCTGTTTGGACAACACGAGGCTGCTGCTCGTGGACAACACATCATTACGCACGGGTGCAAACACAACCATTTTGGCATTGCGCACAAACAGATTTTTTTACAGACTTTTTAGCGGTTTAATGATGCAATAAACGCTGGTGTTCTCAGCGAGAGCCCAAATAAAGATACCCTTAATGCATTCAAGGCCACAAAATTATCTACAGCCTGGGAGAATGAATAATAATTTCCATCAGTAATAAAGGCTTTTAGGGTGGTGAAGTGAAAAAAAGTCATTCATGTCCACTGCATTCAAAAACCAGAGCAAGGAAAACAAGCTAATGGAAGTAAATAAAGCATGGTCTTCGAATGGAGGGCTCAGCGGTACAAGTGCCAGGCTTGACATCTGCTTCCACGCGGCACTCAGCGCTTTAATAGAGATGTAACAATCCATGAGGATGAACTCTTCGCTGCCGCAAATGGAAAACTAATTGCCAAATGATTTAAAGACAAAGAAAAAAATATAAACGCAATGCAATGCGAGCTCATGATACAGGAACTCCTAAATAAAAATACAGCTGCATTTCGAACAAAGAGTTCGAACGCCGTTTTTATTTGTAGACATTACAGCCAACAACCCTTAATGTTGAGTAATGTTATTGTTTTAAGTAGCTCAACTGATTAATTGTAATCATTAAGGCATCAAAATAAAGGTTTAGTGATGCGCAAAATTGACCTTCACTTCGGGATGCATAACATTTTTTCGAAACTGTATGTTCAGGCTACAGTGAGCTGCATGATTTTGTTGGAGAAAAAAAAAGTGACGTGTAGAATTCTAAAGGAGGACCGTTGACATTGCCCGGAATAGAACATTACCTCTCCAAAGCATGCTGCTTCAGATTTATATAGTTACTTAAAGTTCTCAATTATGTGACTTTGTTCGGGGGGGAGGGGGGGGGATCTAATTATATTGGCTATTGACTAAAATATATGAAGACAGATGAGAAGTTCAAGGAGGACAGTTTTAAAACTCCTGCAGCAGATAACGGTCGTGATGAAATAAATGGCAAAATTCCGAGCACGGTCATCAATGTTGCATGCAACCTATGTGTCCCCGGCCTGCTGGTGATAATGGTTTGACCATTATAGTTGTTAAAGCAAACATCTGGGCGGAGATGGGGTGGAGGGGAGAGTTAGTAGGAGGGGTAGGGGGGAGGTGTTCGGTGGGGGGGGGTGAGAAGAATGTAATTTCAATGACCTGACTGTGATGTTTAGTGCTTGAAATCATTATGTGCCATTAAGAAATGGAGTGAGTATTGTGTGATACACTGTGTCTTCAATTGGGTGTCTGTTCTGCGTGTGTGCGCCTGGCATTTTAAATCAGATCGGCAACAAAGCTGGTACACAAAAGGTATCGGGCACTTTTTTTTTAAAGCAATTGACCCACGGTAAAATTGAAGGTCACATTTCTCATGATAACAAACTGGGCCAAGGCTTCATATGGCGAGGCTCTTTGTGTGTATCACAACACTCCTTGAGTTAAAATCACATTGCATTATTTTTGCCGAATTTTTTTCCCCCCAATTGAATTTTCATAAGTGACCCATTTTCTTTGACATTCAATATACATTACTGTTTAAGCTGACACGTTGAAGGATTTTGACTTGTTTTGTACGGCCGGCTACAATAAATCACGCAACTTCTGAAAAGTGCAAACAAAATGAATGCGAGTTGCGAAACACAGCGGTGTGCTTTTTCCGAATAATACTAGCATGGGAAGGTTCGGTGATAGGTATTTGTTTATCAGTCAGATAATATTTTAAGCCCTGCATTGTGTTTGAAAATCACATTTAAATGAAGTTTGCATGGGGAGGCCGTCACACCCATGACTTGGCAATACATTAATGCTGGGATGGTGCAAATACATAACAACCCCGTAATCATCCATCCTCATTACATGGCGAGGAATATTTCCTATTTTTACGTGGGATCCCCCCCCCCCACACTCTCTCACGTTTTTCCCAACGCACAAATGGTGCCTCCTTGTATGATAAATCAGCTTAATCTTCACATTTTTATTTCACTTTTTCATGCGTGCATGCTTAACGGCACCTGTGCCGCACAATTCACACATGCAAAGGGAGACTTTCCTGGGGATATTAAAATTTAAAAAAACTCCATTAATATTACCATCACTGGAGCCCTGTTTAGCGGTGTGCGGTGGCATAGAGGGGCACACCCTTCCAATTTTAAGTCCCATTTTATTAAGGGAATATTTCCACCTGAACAGGTGGCAAAGTCACCACATCTATACATTTTTTATTTCTACTTATAAAAATCTACACTTCCTCTCCCATCAAATCGAAGGAGATTTGATACCCAATAAGAGTGGATGCTGACTTGGAAAAGCACCAGACATGACTTCGTGAACCCAGTTTGGATACCCTAACCAAAACAGCAGTCTCAGCTGATATTCGGTCATTATTGCCTCATTATGCCGATCGTTAATTGTGCTATTCCTTTACATGAAATCGTTGAGTTTTGCGGTCATTTATACAATACTGGTGCATTTAAATTTTACATTCTACATGTCATGTTTGGGGATATTCAATTAACTTGAAAATAACTTGAAAATTAAAAGTATTTTTCTGCCCATCATCAATCCACCGTTGGATGAAGGCCTCCTCACACAGTGTTGGTCATGGGATGGTTGACCATACTTCACCACACTGATTACGGGGAGGGAGGCCCAGAAATAAGTGCAGGTATCACTGGCAACTGAAGTTATGCATGGCCAGGAATCAAACCCCAGGTCACAGAGTTCATGGCACAGCGTGAGAGCCGTTGTGCCATTGCTCCCCGCCGACAGCCATTTATCAGATTGTCTCTGAGTTCCTTTTGTTCTCTGATCCACGTTTTCCTCTTTCCCTCAATTTTATTCCCAGCATGCATTACTCCACACTTCTTTGTGCACCTTTCAGTTATTGTTACATTTTCTTTGCCAGTGTCCAACTTTCTAATCCACGTGTCATAGCAGGGAATATGCAATGATTTAACCGTTCCTTTTTGCGCATGGGTATCATGTTTTTAATTTAAAATTTGTGTTATCGCCTAATGTTCACAGATTTTTCCCCCCCTAGGTATTCCAGTTTCCTTCCACATGCCAAATACTCATGAATGGAAATTGCCAATAATCCCGTTGCAGAATCGTCACAACAAAAATTATCTATAAAAATTGGCATTATCATTCCAATGACAGTTCACATATCTATTTATGGAAATAGGCAAAAGCAATTCAAGCAAAAGTTAAGGGCCCCTAGTAGCTCAGGGGTCCCAGATTCACAAAAAATAATGGTTAATAAAATATCAGCAAATATTCAAATCCTAATAAGTATTACAAGATCACTAGCATACAAAATTCAATCATTCTCTCGCGTCTGCAATTCCTTTTTCTCATCTTACTACGTACATTATTTAACACGTAGCTTTTACAATCTAACCCAAAAAACTTGTATTACGGATACGTACATTCTTGTCTACATTTCTCTCATCTCACTACATATATCTCTCGTCTATATCTCGTCTGTCATATTACCAGTAGTATTGCATTTCATTTATGAATGGAGGAGAGGAAAAAATAATGTCTGCTTAGGGCCTCCCCCCATGGGCTAGCAACACCACAGCACATATCCAGTGCCTTTTGAGTCCTGTAACTACAATTAACATATCACTCTCGATAGTAACGTGGCCCCATATGAAGAGCCTCGGCTAAACTCGCGTGTGGGCTCAACTCATTAGCAGAGGCGAGAAGGAGTGGGCAGTGACTCCAGGAGAAGGAGGAGAATGGGAGAGGGCCTCTTTCCGAGAGAAGTCACTCCCAATTTATCGAGCTGTCAGCCAGACAGGCCATGCCTACAAGCACCCATTCCCAGGAATTAGCTTTGGCTTCATTGTCCTCAGTGTTAACAAGCAATACACAGGTGCTCTTATATATAAAATTGGCTCAAGTGGATGCTGCTGTCTATATGCAAGCCTCCTTGACTTTGTGTTTATGATTTTTTTTCTCTGGCAGAGGACATACAAATCCATTGTACGTGTAATAGAGCAGTCAGATGTGATATTTGTCAACTAATAAGCAGCGTAAACTAAATCATGTCCGACATACCGGCTTGCCTGTGTTATTTACCATTAACGTTGTTCACAGTTATTGTCACACCTCTTCTTTCTGAGAGAGACAAGCAAGTTGAACAATAATACATATTCTGTCGGTGTGTACACAGAATTGAGCTTTCACACGTAGGCTTTTGGGACCAACATTGTGATTAAAAATCGATGTATTTTTGGGTCAAATCGCGTAAATAAAATTGGCACGCTTGTTTATCACGTGACACCTTTATTAATTGGTTGTGTCGGGTGGAGGAGGGTTTACAACACACGCATTTTATTTACGCGTTCTGGCCAAAAAAATCATCAATCAGAATGAGCCTTATTGTAGAATCCCCCCCCCCCCCACCAATGTTGCATACACAGCAGAGAAATGATCAGATTTTAAATTAATACCCTTCCAGAATAAAAAAAAGCAAATATATTTTGTTTGCACCATCCAGTTTGGCTGTATGGATTAATGATAGTATTATAAAATATTTCCCCCCCCCCACCTCTCTGCTTATACGGTATATATCACCAGAAAAAAAGGGCATAAACAGCCAGAGGCTTTTTAACTCAATTCACCCCCACGCCAGCCACCACAACCCCCCACAGCCCCGATCCCTCAGCCCCCACAGCCCCCACCGCTATCGCGCCCTGGGCTCTCAGCTCTCGGCAAAGGCTTCGGCGTTGGCTTAGGCCTCGGTTTGTGTGATGTCTCTCTATATCCTCCGGCATGACACTCCAAAGCAAGTTCAAAGTCAAAAGGGCAAAACATTGGGGTTTGGAAAGAACTGCGGTAATATTCCAAACAGTGGGAAGCACTCTTTCAACTCGATGTATTATTTATTTTGGACAGTTTATTGTTGGTTTTGTTTTCGTTTGCGAATGTATGTGATCTGATCGTGTTGATTGCTGCAATTAGCTAAAATGCCAGTACAAAAAGATAATGTAGATGTTTAAATCAAAAGACAATGTGTGGCATATCGATGTAAAATAGTCCAATTGATACAACAAATGCAGCTAAATTTATATAGTTACAGTAAACATGTATCGATTTTTGCCAAAGCTTTCACATACATCTCTTATCAGCGTTGTATAAAAATAACTCATTTTTATGCACGTACTCAGCGATACATATACAGAGACAAATCATCCCGCAGAGAAATACAAACTGTTCCGGCAAGTGCTGTTGTGAGCCACTATCAAGGCTTGCATATTGTCCAAGGGGATGGTGCGGTTACAGTTAGATGCATTTGCCTCCTGAATGCCGATGTTATCATACCACACCTGGTACTCATTTGATCAGAATCTTTACTTAGACTGGAGGAATCCGAGGAGCTATGAAGCTCTTTTTCACAGACGTCAAAATAATACAAAAACCGATAGCAGTGCAAAGTGTAGGAAAGGTAAGGAAGTGACTAAAATAAATCAATAAAAATAAGTAAAGTATACGCTGTAAGGACAAATTGCAAAACTATTTAAATTCCTGCTCATTTCAAAAGAATAAATGCAAGCTTAGGTAAGGCAGCACGACAACAATAACAGCATTGTGGGATGCTGTTGGCATGAATGACGCGATTTCAAACACAAGTACGATTATTAACAGTCCCAGACCGCAGCAAGACAACGCAGAGTCGCTCAATAAAATTGTACATTAATGCTCAGTTGACCTATGAGCTGCAATATGTTTAGGAGCTAAAAGCCAATGTCAAGATCCGCTAGGAGAGCATTTGCATAGTTTTTCTATTCCATTGAAGCAGCGCAGACTGCGGTGTTTTATTGTATGGTCTATGGTTTGGTTTGCAAGGCCACGATCGCACTGTGACTTGCCTTTAATTTTTCATTCAAAGAGGCGATGTGCATATCAGCCTGCAGATCTGATGCAGTTTGTGACACACCAGTGTCTTCGAGGATTGTCAAAATCACCGAGGACGGGAATTTAACTTAGGCTGCCTGATTCATAGCAGTGCATTCACCAATAAATATTCACAAAACATGCAATCGGACAAGTGCAGACATACCAATTTAGTTTTCCAATGACACTCAAGGCTCCAAAAATGTAAGTAAAATTCATAATCAAATCGTCCATTTTCCCAAATTCATACAACCTTTCCATTTTACAATAATATATAATAATCGTAATAATGAAGATCTATGACACCTTGTGTTGCTTGTTGCTGGTAGCTTGGTGTTTTGGGCCTCTTGGCTTGTTTGCGACAACTTTGTATGAAAACAAAAACACTAGGAATTAATGAATGAACATTTAGAGGGTTGCTTCCTATCCTGGATTATTCCAGGAATTGCCATCTGTGTTCAGGTGGCATGAATTGAGATCTGGCAATGGAATTTGGTACTGACATAACTTTGAAAGTTATCACAGTAGACTGCACAGTTTAGACAGACCGAGGCTGCCCGAGAAATAGGTCAGGGTTTTTGTTTCACAACGGTGATAGCATTCGCCGGCGGTGGTAAAGCATCACCTTTGACGGAGGTGTTGGGCGGAGGGCCGTCCATGTGCAGGTGCCAGGGTGGGTCTCCATGCGCGGCAAAGTCTCGCATCTTCAGGTAGCTGATGGTGAGTCGGATTATTGAGGCCTTGTCAAGCTGGCTCGTGATGGCCCCGGGAAGAGGCAGCATCTTGGCGAGCTCATAGAACTCGAAGTTCTCCTTCCCGCGCCGCGACCGAGCCGCATCCCGTGACTTCTCCTTGCGCAGCGCCTGAAGCCTGGGAACCCCGCACACGGTAGCGGGAACATGCACGCACACCCATGGGGTTGAGTACAAGACACCCTGCGGGCAATTTACCACCTGTCGGCCAATTAATGCAAAGATTGAAAATCGTCAAGGGCGGATAAACTCATTGATGTTGTACAGTCTGATGCTCCAAAGTCTGAGGCCCGCACTGAGTAGTGTGGTAAAGTATGGTCAAATAACCCCCAGGACCTTTAAGGCGCGAGGAAGCCCTCATCTGGGAGTACATTGTACACGTTGAAAATCACATGCACCAACAGCTAAGAAACACTGCTCACACTCGTGGAGCTGTGGGTAAGTGTGGTGTCGAGCGCCAATGTCCAATTTCTCTAACTACATTTTTTTGCTTTGTTTCAATATTTATTTATTTCGATGTGTGCTGTGTATGTTTGTATGCTTAACCTGTGCAACATGAAATTCAATCCATTTTTTCTCTTATCTGCCTTTAACGATATATGTGTGTACATCATCCACTACTGGATGAAGGTGCCCCCCCAATGCCATCCCTCATGATCCTGCATTGTCACAATCCATCTTACTCCTCCACACGAGATGATCGGGGCTAATGGGTCCATAATTCCTGGAATCAGTTTTGTCTCCACTTTGTGAATAGAAGATCAAAATTAGAGGCCTTATTGCCAAAACGTTTACGCAGAAATGTATTTCCTCAATCGTTGAGCGTCGCCTCAATCATTCTTTAGTTCAAAAAGGGGGGCACAACTGATGAGAATAACTACGGGCTCATTAGCCTCTTCGCATGACGAAAGCAGGTGTAACCTATTCACAAAATATGTGTACACAGCATGGGATTTTTTTGCTTTATTTAAACCTATACAGAGCCATACATTTCACGTACTTAATCATTCTTCTCTTCTGTTGAATATGGAACCAGCATCCACGAAGATAATTTGCTATACAGTGGTTACTATGTATGCACTGCAGTATATAAATTAACATTGTTATTATTAATAAGTATTTACTGATTTGGCCACCTCTCACAATCCCAAAAATGGTCATGAATTATAATTTTGATATTTATCAAGAATCAAGTATATATTTTTTTATTTAAAGCTTTCGTAATTGCAGGGATTCATATTATTGGTTCTTTCGGTAAAGTCACGTAGAAGGGAAAAAATGAAATAATACAAATAAAACTATTAAATTCTCACAACGCTTCGATTGCAACACAAAAATCATCATCAGGTGTGAAAACCACAGCAATACATTTTGAAAAAGATGGATTCTGGCTTAGCAATCATTGTAAAGATTTGATAAACCATTTCGGGTCTTAATTGGTTGTGTTCACGCTTACAGTGACTTTCAGACCGCATTCCATTCTCTTTCTATCTCCCCTCTCCTCCGTTCCGAGCATAGATGGACTCGTCCGTCTGAACAACCGCCAGTTGCTGTCCGTGGTGCTAACGTTAAGAAAAAAACGCCACTTTTTTTCAAATTTTCTTGCTGTGGTTTTCACACCTGATAATGATTGCTTGTGTTACAATCGAAACGTCGTGATAATGTTATTGTTTTATTTGTATTATTTTATTATTTCCCTTCTACGTGACTTTACCGAAAGAACCTAGAATATGAATCAAGTAGATGTTTAGTGTTACATTGTGGTGCCCTGCAGAACCTGTCGTGTTTACAGATAAATAAATACAACAGAAGGAGTGCAAAGAATCGATCCTAGCACGCACAATTCAACGCAGAACAAACCCGTGGAACACATAATGACTCAATATCCCATTCACAAATACGAAGGAGGCATCATCAACACTGACACACTCCGCTGGTCCTGACGCAATTTTATGGCTCAACCACTTTAATGTAAAATTAGAGTCGTTGCTTTAAATCAACATCGCCATGCAAAGACGAAGTAGCGTTAGAATCGACTAATTGATGCATCATTACACCGATAATTATATATTTGTTATATGCTCACTGTGTGTATGTTACAGCTGAACTGTGTAGGCATCCATCTCAGAGCTAGCTAGCTTATTGTCCGTGCGCATGTGAATGCATTATACATACGTCTATCAAAGGTGTGCACGCAAGCATATATATGTGACTGTGCACACGCATCACACACTTCGTGCAAACACAAACAACACACACAGCGAGCACAAAACTGACATTAGCTGCGAGTCAATTGCTTTAAAGTTTTATGCTGCATATTCAAAATGTGCTGCATGTGCAACAAATTCAGGACTCATTAAGTATAGATGCTTTGCAGGGTTTTTGGATCTATATTGTCATGCAAAAATGGCACAATTACAATATGTTGGAATATATTTAACACAAATGCATTTTAATGTTCTCAATACTTTTGACGAAACTTTTGTAATGTTACGAGTAGATAATTTATTTTTTTAGATACTGCGATGGCATCAATGGCCAGTGATAAATGAACTTTGTCCTAGGCAATTATTTCACAAACCCGCACTAAGTGTCGGTGACATCACTACAGCACTTGTGCCAGGCTAGGTGCATACTGCATCCACCTGAAGTGTCAAACACTCGCTGGCAGGAGGTCACTGGACAGACCCAGGTGTTGTAGGTTAACTGACTGACATTACTGACAGATGCTCCACCTCCCACTGTGCCAACTGGTGAAGTGTGGATAAACAATCCTCCATGACTGATATAGTGTGGAAAGGCCTTTCTCCAGCAGTGGAATGACAACAAGCTGTACATTATTGTTATTTATCAATTACATTTCCAGAGTTTTATCTTAAGTTTCAAGATTGGTCTTTTTTAAACATTCAACCTTGTGTTCACGTTTGCACTAAAATTGCGTTTTTATCCCAGTTTCATGTCATGACAATGAAGCATATCTTGTGCATTCAACAATAACCGCGGCCTTCCAACCAAGCCAACATTCCATTTGTATAAAGCAAATCGTCTTCGACAAGTAGGACTTGTGACATTCATATGAGAGAGATATTCCCAAGACAAATGTTGGGTGGCAAAGTATGTAGATAAGACAGCGTGAGAGAGAAGAGTCCAAAAAAACCCTCTTTGATCAAACATTTCTACTACCTTGATTGACAACCCTGCTGCCATATATATGTGCAATGATGCATCAATATATTTGGTAAAATCAAGTCCTAAGCTCACGATACACCCATAAAATAAGGCGTGTGAGTATTAATATTTTATCCATTATTCTTTTTTGTCGTGTTTAGTAATGAGGTCACGTGATCCCCGTCCAGGAACTTGAGGCAGCTACATTCACCGCAGTGTAAAACATCATTTGATTTATTGAATTGAATGGAATCTTAAATCTGAATCATGACAATTTATTGAATCCCAAGGGGAGTGAATTGCTAGACCACTGGTCTATATGATCTGCAATTACCTGAAATGTTTTCACATTCTGTAGACCAATTCAGTTTAAAAATAACAATAATTGAACTATAAACAATGTCGCTTTGGGCCAATGTAAGTATATCTTTATCTAGTAATACTGCAATATTGAAAATGAAAGTATTCAATGATGCGAACAATTTTGGTGTGAAGGCCTAACTAGCATGAATCCACACAGCAAAGCATACGGTTAGTTATTCTGACTTGAATTATTGCTTTAGAGAGTAAATAAATCCTGGATGCATCTCTGCGTGAGTTGAATTTTATTAGGAATGCATTGGAAAGCCTTCCTCAAAATCTAACGATGGCTTTTTTTTGTGAATATAAGTCACTGTCCGTTTTCAATTTACCGCTAGATGAAGGCCTCTCCAAGCGTTGTCAGTCATGGGGGTATTTGACCATACTTCACCATGCTGGCAATTGAAATGTGATAGTGGAGGGGGTGGGGGGAAGGGAAGGTGAGTTCAGATATTACTCTGATGTTAGCCACGGCCGCTAATCAAATTCGGGTTTGTGGATTCAAAGCGCAGTGCTCTAACCATTGTGCCACCGCTCTACCGAAAAATAGTCTCAAAGGTGCTGAAATAAAGTAACGGCGAGCTGTTAAGCAGGAGCATCAAATTGCAGTGTACATACTCACTGAAATAAACAGACGGGGGCGCGGGAATCAAAAAAAGTGCGGGTTGGATCAAACAGACTTGAGCTGAAATGTTTTCTCCCCAAAGGGCTGCTTGCCGGTAGCCTTCCTAAAAGTGTTACTTTATCAACGTCTCTCTTTCCTGTTCACTTTCCGCTGCCTCCCTAACCACTCCAGCACTTCATGGCTCCCAGCCTGTCCCATGGACTATAAATCATCCCGGCTGGTAGAAAGGACTCTTGTGTTTGCTAGTGCTTGTGCATCCTCGTGTGTGTGTGTGCATGCATGTGCGATTTGCTGTTTGTGCATGCGTGAGCGTGCGTGTGCATGTGTGTGTGTTCATGCACGTGTGTCCGCATATGTGGGGTAGCGATAGTGTGGTGGGGTAGCGTGCTGCGCTACGAACCCAGCCACCCAGGTTTCATTCCAGCTCACAGCTCAACATAGCTCACGAATATCGGAACCGGTCCTGCACCTTCCCCCCACTCCCCTCTATGTCAATTCTGCCTTAAAATGAGCACATGGTGCGTTGTGTAAAAATCAGTGTTGGGGAGACAAAGGTGGTCAGGTGTGGTGTTGGTCACCCACCGCTCATGTGCCGTGTAGACCTTCCAAGGTGCTAACAACACTTTCCCCAAAAGTACATTAAAGGCTATGGAGGGAAGGGGGATCTTAATCTGTGTGCATGTTCATGCATGTGTGTGTACATATGCAATTTTGTTTCTATCCCCCGTGCGTGTTCATACAGGGGCGATGTCGGGTGGGAATGCAGCGGAGGACTGTAAAAGGGAGGAAGATCGACAAGATATCTGGGCGCTCTCTTTATTTTCCGCCGTGGACACGACAGGACCGCCAGAGCAGGATGCTGGGCTTTAGTTTCCAAAATGACACCCCCAGCACCCACTTCCTCCACCGGCCATCCAAACAAACACACTGGCTACTGTGTAATCCCACAGTCCCAGGGCAGAGTCAGCTTACGA